AGAAAATGTACTGTGCTGGAAAAGAGATTAGCCAAAAGATTCTATTGTGCCAAAGGGAATGAATAACAGCATCAGGATCCTTAGAAGATCCTCGTATGTCTACCCAACATGTTACACTTCCACAGTCAGACGTTTACAAGCATTTAAATCAGCTATATTGGGACACAGAAGGGCTTTCATTAGAACTCTCTGCTTTATGTGAGTTGGCGCCTCTGTCAATGAGCCTGAATAAAAACATCTCTCTTTATATGCAAAGGCTCCCAAGAAGGGAACAGTACATTTCAGGCATAACTACAGTGGAATCCTAGTTGTAGCATTTACTTCCCACCTTCTTTCAGAAGGTAGCAGCACATTTTTTTTTTTCTTTTGCCTCAGAACCAGCTTTCTCTAGATTGCTGCTGTTCTTCAGCACTAAATTTGCAACAGTATCGAGTCAGAGCCTACCCCCCTCTGCTGGGCCTCTCAGCTGGCAAGCTAGCTCGCTGTTGCTACGCAGTTTTTCCTCAGCTTTTTCCCGCCAAAACTAGGCTGCCTCAGAGCACCTTAATCTAAGTCTCCCCAGTTGGCACGTTCTTCTACTAGTGCACCTCCCCGTGAGGTACACCTAGAAGATTACCTACGCGCCTCAGACTGTCCCTGACTAGATCCCCCTTGCTCTGGGCACACTTGCCAAGGCTTTGCTGGACCGCTGGACAACTGGACCAGTCGTATCCCACACGCTGGACACCAATCAATGTGACAAACCCAGACCTACTGGGATCTATCACACAGTTACTAAGCTGCCACCAACCATTCCCTATAATAAGTCACACAGACCAGGGATGGATTTTTAAACAACAAAAGAATAAGGTTTATTTTAAATACAAACAGGGTAAATAAAACAATCAGGTGAATAAAATAAAGTAACGTGGCTTATTCTCACACACACAAGCATACAGTTTGGTTCACCTAGAACCTTTAACTTAAAGCACAGACCCTGAACCCATCAGTTCTGGCTAACCAACAGACCCCTGAACCTTTCAGGCTGGTACTCTGACACACAGTAGTACCCTGTCAGACACCCAGACTCCCAACAGCTTCTTCTTCCCCAGCTGCTGCTTCGTCACCACCCAGTGTCTCACAGTGTCTGTCTCAGCATCTCCTTTCACCACACAGGCATCACATATTTATACAGTACAGCCCCTCCTCCTGATGTCCCGCCTTCCACTCCCCATAGGATGGAACTTTCCCTCCAAACCCATGACAGACAGGTAACATCAGTGCTGTTATGTAACACACGTTATATTTCAGGGAGTGAACAGAATTCCGAGCTCTATTGCTCACTTCTTCTGTTTTGATATTTATAGGCAACATTTTATTCTCTTGATATTTCTGCTTTCTTGACATTTAAATCTGAAGCCATGATGTGGGTGTTACAATACACTGAGAAGAATGGGTGTTTTTCAGACATTCTTTAGAGGCAGGTATTCTACAGCATATTAGTACAGGCCAGGGATACACACTGTTTACAGTCTTTACATCACTATGGTGATGCTCCTGAACCTGTTAAGGAATCTCATTGAATTCAGTGAGATTTATTTCTGAGTAAACATGCATAGGATTCCACTATACGGAATTCCTCCCTGGTTTATTTACCTGTTTTGATAAATGTCTACCTAACTTTTCTGTACAGGCCATTTAAAATAGTTTCCGAATAAGCAGTACATTAACACAGAGTAACTGACATATCATTAATATAGTGTTGCCATATCATTAACTGATGTATCACTTTTCCTTTACAGAATCCTCAGCTGCAGAAAGGTAGCCTTCCTCTGCACTAAACCATTAAAAGATGGTAGTAACGAAGAAACACCAGCCATGAGTCATGTCATTACAGATGCAAGAGATGATATTTCAGCTGTATTTTTGGCACATATAGCCACAAACCACAAAATAACATTTAAAACGCGATTATAACAAGCTACCTGGGACATGGCATTTTAAAAAACTGAAGAGATTTCTGTTTGCTTGGAAACTGAGATTCCACACTCTTGAGGAAAGGTTTGCTTGGCTATCATGGAATGCACTTTGCCCAATGTTGAATTAATTAACTAGCTTTGTTAATTAGCTGGTTTTGAAAGTAATCCTTTGAAAACATTATAGAAGTCACAATGGCTAAATTTAACACTAAATTAATACTGGCATACAGCAATAGGGAGCTTCTTAGATACTATGGATGAGACCTTCAGGTTAATCCAGAAGGAGGGGGGAGGCAAACAAAGGAAGTGGCTCTAACTTTCACTTTCATTGTTTATTTATTTAAAACATTTTTAGCCTGCCCTATACCACAGGATCTCAAGGCAGGTTACAGGGCAATATGAAACAATTTAAAAACATACAATGTTGAAAAAAATGTAAATATGTAACATTTTAAATCACAAAATTAAAATGTTAAAACATCATTGCACAGACCATGATCCACAACCCTCCAAAGGCTCTAATAAATACTGTAAATATGTCTTGACTTGGCCAATGTTGGCACCAATGAAGCCTCCAAAAGGAGGATATTCCACAGTGGGGATGCTATACCCAAGAAAGCCCTCCCAATGTCTCAACATAACAAACTGCTCTCAATGATGGGACATGGAGGATGGCCTCCCTTGAAGATCTTAGTGATCAGGCAGGTGTAAAGGAGAGGTGCTCCTTTTTTAATTGCAAAAGGCAGATTCTGAATTTCAAATGCTTTATTTTAAATCAAAGAGAGTTTTGGATTCTTTCATGTTTTTCCTGTTCATTTGCCCTTCTTGTTTGTTAGATTGCTGGGGAAGTGCTTAATGAATGAATGAAATTATATACTACCCATCTGGCTACTAAGACCAAATAGTGTTGTGAAGGCTGCTGTTAGCCACCAGTCAGAATGACCAGGAGGGGCAGGGAGAGAGTTTGAGTTGCAGAAGGGCATGGATTGGTTCTATAACCCAATGAAGAATAAGGTTTTTCTCTGGTCCTTCCTTTTGCACATGATCTGTGCACTGCTGAGTTCCATGGTGCCCTCCATCTTGATTGTGATCTCCCTTTAGGTCTGTTGATTCTTTTTGCCTTCTCCCACTCGCCAAATTTTCTTAGAAATTTCCCTCTTCTCCCACTCTTTCCTGATTTTTTATTTTTTTTTTGCCTGCTGCTGGTCATTGATTAATGGAACAGAAGAAATAACATCAAATGCAGAAAGACAAATCTCATCATATTCTAGGAATTTGAGTTGGTGGGGGAGCTTTAACTGCAGTTTTTTGTTTGTTTTTTTGTTTTGTTTTTTGGTGGTTTGGGGTTTTTTTTGTTTTGTTGTTGTTGTTTTTTTGCTTTTATTTGCTTCCTTTCTTGATTTTTGGGAGGGAGCAGTGTGTGTGCGTGACAGAGAGGAAAACAAGAACACAGATGCCCGTCAGCATTCTGTTGATCTCCAGATCAGGACCCACACAGCCCACCCAGCCTTCCACTGAACCGACCACAAGGTCTCTCACATGAGTGATAGAAGGAGGACATGCCAACACATATGGCTAGCAGCAACAATGAATCTTGCCTGGATCCATCTATGAAAGATCAGTGGAAAGGGGAGTTGTTGGGGGAAGGTTTGGAGCACTGAGCCACAGGACATGTTACTTTTATATGTATGCAGCTACTAACTATTTTTGCTATGTAACCTGCAGCTGCAGAAAAGCCTGGGCAGGTCCACAGCTATGAGTGTTGGGAAGATCGTGTAAATCTCTCTCTCCCTTTCACAAGTCTAACAAACACCACCTATCCAAAGGTGTTACTTGAATTCCATGAAAAGCCTCAATTGACAACATGGAGACTTTCTCTTGAAATGCAAACTGTAGATTTGAAGAGGAGATTTTTGATTGGTACTTTGGCAGTGGAAAAAAGAGTTAACTGCCCCCGTCTGCCACAGTTCCAAACTACTCAGGTTTCTTCTTCATTCTGTTATGTTAGTAGATATTTATGTTAGGTTTGCCCAGATGAGGGAATCTGGGGTAGCCTGGTTTGCATTTTAAAGGTTCTTATCTTCAGTATGATCAACTTTATTTCTTATTTGAGTGATACTTTGGTTCACGCTGGAGATGTTTATTCTCCTGTGAGGAGGGTCCGCACAGGTCTTTGAATTGTCTTTGGATTTTACAGACAAGCAGGTTTACTCAGTTTACTCACAAATAAGGAGGCAGCAAAGACAGCAACAGCATGGCAACCTTGTGGCGGAAGTAATGGCACAAAGGGAAAAGGTTGGGGAGACAGAAAGGGAGGTAACCTCATCTTTTCCATGCCCTTCTCCTCAGCCAAGGCTTTGCTGGAGCTGCGCTGCCTTGTGATGATGGAGCCCATGGAATTAACATAGCCCCTTTCCCTGCCTTTTCCTGCAGCCATCGTTCAGCAGGCCACAGTGACTTTCTAGTTTCTTTTCTTTTGATATATAAAGTAAGTGGCGTAGTGAAACAGCACCATCCCAGCATGATATATATATTGTACATATTATACTGCCAATGTTTTAAAATTCTCCTGCATCTGTTAGGAAAATATTTTAAAAAGACAAAAATAGAAGAGGGGATTTCTCCATTCTCAACTTTAATGTCACAAGCTACCTAAGACATACAAGGTTATCATCTCAGATAACATCTCCAGCAATTCCCTTTGAGTGTGAACTAACCATCTTCATGGGCTACACAGTGGGAAAATTAGAAGTGCACTGAATCATGCCAAAAAAACAGAAGTCCTAACACTGTGCCAGAAAGGAACCAGACAGGTCTAAAACATGGCCAAATGCATCACTCTAAATCAAAACACATGAGAACATAATTTGTTTCAAATTAAACTGCACCAAAAGCAATCCAAATAGTAATCTATATAACTGTCTGGATAGGCCATTAGTTGCGTTCACACAATTAAAACCTTCAGGATATAAAGACACAATTTCACTACGCTATTAAACCAACATGGCCAACTGGAATTGGAAGAAGAAACATTATACTTGCCACCACCATTCCAGGGACAACGCCATGTTTCTGCACCAGAAGAGGGGGCTTTTGGTTCAGAGGGCTCTCTAGGTCATATTTCAGGAAGCGGAAAGGATCATGTTTGCACTGGAAAGGGAGCAAATAATTTTGTTCAGGATTTTGGAAAGGCATGGAGTATTCTATTCAAACGATTTAAAAATGTGTAATTTTCTATTGCCAGAAAATTTTTCTATTGCCAGAAAAAAGTGAGCAAGCAAGGAGATAAGCTAGATAGCCAGGGTTCCCTTCTGTTTATTTTCTTAGCACAGAGGTGAGGAATCTCTCTTCTGCAGAACTCCTTATTATCTCCCTAAGAACCTGTCAGGTTAGGTATTCCAGCAGAACCCAAAATGGGTGAACCAAGACCAATTCAGCATGAATTGCTTTTGCAAGGTAAGTCATGAGCACCATGAATTGGCACCCAGATCCATATTTGCTCTTGGGCCACACATTCTCTGTGCTGGTGAATCCCCCTATATAAAAATCTGACTGATGGAAGAAGCTACAACAACAACTGCTGCTTCTCTTAGTAGCTTAAGCTACTAACAATGTTCACAGAAAGGGAAGGAAGTCTGATATGGTCAACATTCCAAAAGAGTCCACTGAACCTCTGTCTCCCTCTTCTCTGCTCTACAAGGATGTCCAAGACAGGTAGGAGAAATGTGAGTTCCATTGCTTCCTGTATACTGATGCGGTCAAGGCTAGTTACATATTTGAGGCTTCTCTCACAATAGGTGAAAAAGGGGTTCCTTCTGGATGAGCTCTTAAATAGTTTAGAACACAATCATATGGGTATTTATTCAGAGTATGATATCCATTGGGGTTTACTCCTAAGTAAACTTAATATCAATGCATGTGCAACTGGGTAGAAGGATTAGAATAGCAAGAGAAGATCCAAAAGAAAGGCCCAGATTAAGAGAATAGCTATTATAAGTGATTGAACAAAAACAGTGCGGGAGAGAGAAATACTGACATACAAACACACATAAATGGCTGAGTGATACATCCATGGCAATAAAAACCTGAGGTTGGGCAATGCCTTTATTAGATTTTAGTGATGCAGTGGAGATATTGCCTAACCTTGGACTTTACTAGCCTTAAGACAGAGTAGGCAGGACAGAAGTAGTTTCCCAGTGGCAACAATTACCACTCAAAACCTCTATTCAAATTTTAAAAAACCTATAATTCTCTATTAGCTATGCTTGCTATGTTGATGGAAGTTGTAGGGCAAAAAAGGTCTGGAAGGCCACAGTTGCCCACTCTTCCTCTAGAATAGAGGCATGAGCTAAGCAAAGAGAAGACGCCTTGCTGTTGGAAGGAATCTTGTGAGGCAGAGTTCGGAAAAGTTACATTTTTGGACCGCAGCTTCCAGAGTTCCCCAACTGGTATAGCTACTGGCTTCTATTGACTTTTATTTCTTTTCATTGTATCCCCCATGGGCAGTAGCCACATGATTTGAAAATATGCTTTCAAAACATGAACAGAAAGGTGGCAGGGAGATGAATTTTGCAGCAGATGATAGCCAGTTTCCAACTCATGCAATGCAAACATAGGTATAGAACCACACTACTCTTATAGAATTTAACATGTTCCATAGCTAGGAAGTCCCAAACCAGTACTATTTCCCAATATAATAATAAACGCTGTCAAAAAGGCAACAACAACAACAAAAATGCACTCAGGATGGAGAACACAAATAGGCTGGATGTCCACATTTCACTGACCTGAATACAAGGTGAGGGGCGGCCATGCTGCATGTGTACATAAATCTTCTCAACAGACCACTCAAAGAAAGGAGAGTAGGAATGGTTTTGGGTGGACAGTACGCATATCACAATCACTTGCTGAGGGTCTCTTGGGGCTGCGATAAACTTCTCAAACTCCATGTCAGTAATCAAGGGGACTTTCACCACACACTTGCAACACATGCCATCATCCTCTTTGGCCAAAATTCTTCGCAGCACCACTGGGCAGTCAGTAGGAGAAGCAGCCCAAGTCTCTGGTACAGGCACCGCATCTCCTGCTGGGGATTTTGCTCTGGCTCTGTGTGAAGTTCGTGAGGTGGTTGGAGAGAAAGGGGAAAGGAAAAAAAATCAATAAATGCAAGCCCCAACTTGAACTGCACAGATTTCTGAGTAGAGAGAGAAAGCACGGAGACAGTAATTTTGTGGGGGCAGGCCCATCTCAAAATCCCAGTGACTTTTCCAGCCTTTGTAGTAGAGATGGCCTTACCCCAGTTATCCACCCTCTGGAAATTTTTCACTCAGACTCCTGCAATGAGTTATATACGGGGCTCTGTTTCAGAACAGTCTAGGAGCTGTTCCTAGACGATCCAAAATCAAATCAAGATTACTAACTGGAACTCTAGGATGGGAAAGTGTCATTCCATCTGCAGTGGCTTCCAATTCATTTCCCAAGATCAATTCAAAGTGTTGTTTATATTAATTTTTAAGATCCAAAGGGCTGGAACCCACGCTCCATAAAGAATTGCGTCTCCCACATAATATTCAACATGGCCCTAAGACTATTTCCAGAGGCCCTACCAAATGCAATAGGACTGGCGATTATGGGAGAGAGTCACCTCAGTGTTGATATCCAAGTTACAGAACACCCTCTACATGTAGAGAGGTTTGCTGGCTCCTACACTGTGGTCCTTCCACTGCCTGATGAATTTTCATTTCCCAGGTATTTTTAAATGCTGTTTTCCTGCTGTATTTATGTTTTGCTTTGCTGCTCTATTTTAGTTTTATACTGTGTGATTTTACTCTCTTCACATTTTCCCTTTTTCATTTGTATATTTTAAATTTTCATTATTAACTTCCCAGGGAATGCTAGTTGTTTATACATATGCAGAAGCCAGAAGTCCAGACTGCATGGAACACACAACTTGGTTCTCCAGTTTCTCCCTGACGCTCATTCTGTGCTCTTTGAAGATCTCCTGCTCACTGTTCATTCAAATCTAACAGTGCAGCAGCACCAGCACCGACATGCATTACATGAATGAAACTATGCAGGCACAGGTATGAAAACTGTTGAGGGACACAGCCTGAGCTGGCTGCCTCTCTGCTCACGTGTTCTTGATGGACCCTTCCCTATGCCACTTTCCGTGATACACTAAGAGGAAGAAACTAGTCATGTCAATTAGAAGAGACAAGTACAGTATAGACACCACTGGAGTTCCAACTTAGGAAGATGGGAGTGCTCAGGGTTGCAGACAGTGGGACTGGAGAGTCTCCTTTCTCTCCTGATACTCCCTCGCCTCTGCCACCTGATGCAGCTGCCTCACTCTGCCTAATGATAGGATCAGCCTTATATGACCTACTCCAGGGTTTATTTTGTAATGATCATATCTGAATCTTCTCCCACATGGCTGGTCTTGCTTCTCTGCCAAAGAAGACCCTTTCCCTGAAACGATAATCCTACTAACCGTGAATCAGGCCGTCGTTTTTTCTTGAAAGGTAAGTAACCAGTAATGCTCTGCGTAAGAAGTGGTTTGACACTTGATTTTGCCTTTACTTCTGAAAGGGAGCTACTGGGTTTTCGGTCCCAAGCATGAAGTGGCGCCTCTCTTCCCACAAACTTCACATGCTTGACAGAGGAAAATTCAAGTGGGTAGTCGATACAACATATCCCTGTCAAATAAATGGGAAGAACAGTATACCATTTTGTCCTGTTTCAAACTGGTAAAGAAACTATTGATAGTCAATATGAATGTTGACTTGATTGGTCCAAGAGTGTGATCCTTTTGGAATGTCCTTCATCTCAGGACTTTCTAACCTTGGAGTCCAAATATCTAATTGTACTTACTATAACCCCAATTTGTGCCAAATAGCAAAACAGACACCCATCTTGATCCAGGATCTGTACACGTTTAAGAAAGACCATGTCACTGTTTCCTACTTTGGGGAAAATTAGGGACGTGGTGGTGCAGGGGGTTAAACTGCAGAAGCCTCTGTGCTGCAAGGTCAGAAGACCAGCCGTCGTAAGTTCAAATCCAAGCGATGGAGTGAGCTCCTGTCGCTTGTCCCAACTCCTGCCAACCTAGCAGTTTGACAGCATGTAAAAATGCAAGTAGATAAATAGGTACCACCATGGTGGGAAGGTAACGGCATTCTGTGTCTAGTCGCACTGGCCACATGCCCACGGAAACTGTCTTCGGACAAACACTGGCTCGACAACTTTGAAACGGGGATGAGCACCGCCCCCAAGAGTCAGACATGACTGGACATTTATCAAGGGTAACCTTTACTTTTTACCTTAGATATGTTATTTAGAAGATTATTCTATTATTTAGACAGATCTAAAGGGGCTATTTATTGATCTTTCCACAAACAGACCCCTTAGCAAAATATTCTTTGGAAACCTCTTCCATTGATAGTTTATGGCCTCTGTAATGATCCTCATTAAATTCTAGTAGGAACTGGTGAACTGAACCGAATGCATAAATTCAGAACTTCAGGTATGAACAATGGACACAACAAAACCCAAAAGGAAAAAATATACTATGTTCTAAAGTTTCTCTTTTAAACAATTTTCAATAGGAAAAGTTGGTTTTGAGTATGACATTTCAAAAAAAAAATCATTTCTAATTTCAGTTTTGGATACTGTAGGTGAGTACTGACACACAATTCCGTTTTGATTTCATGAGAGACTATCAGTGAGTTTAGTGATTTCAAAACATTAAATATGTCACATTTCTGTAACGATTCATTTTCACTTTAATCTGTGGTGCCAGAGGAAGGGCCAGAATTAATGGACTCCAGTTGTAAAAAAGGAGATTTCCATTAAACATTAGGAAGAAGAAATTCTTGTCAGTAAATGGACAATCTCAGAAGGGGATGAACTCTCCTTCTTGGTTGTTTTTTTTTAACAGAATCTGGATAACCATCTCTTAAGAATGATTTGGCTGTGGATATTTTGCTTTGGCAGGGAGTTAGACTTGATAACACCTTGGGGACCCTTACATCTCTGCAATTCTTTGATGCTATGACAAGTATCTCCCTCACTTAATCTTCATCTCTGCAAGACAGATGGAGGAAGGGGAAAGAGGGAAGAAAGACTATACTGTATAGCTATAATTAAATACAATATAGATGCTGGACTAGCAAAACTGACTGTACCTGAAACCAGCAGAACACCATTTATAAATTGTCTCACTCTCTTCTCAAACCTCCTCCTAAGCTCTGCTAAACTTCGTGCCCAGTGTCCATCCCTGTCTTCACTTTCAACGTTTCTTAAAGACGGCTTTAGAACACAAAAGAAGAAATGAAATCAGATGATTAGCAGATACTGTTTGAGCTTCTGGAAGTACAGTACTTCTGCTGTGCTATACAAATGTCACTAAAGGCAGTATATTCAGTAATACTCATCAACTGGCTCTTACAGTCTCAATAGCTCACTGAGATATTATTAAGAGAAAGATTAAAAATGTTTAATTTACTTACAGTGGACAGATAACAGCAAGCTAACCACATAGCTGGCTGGTCTAAGCAACAAGCCTCAACAGAATCACAGCTTCCAACAGACAGGAGTGAAAAGATCTTAGCAGAGAGACGTAGCTCTCTCTTTTTTTGAATCAGAGGCTTTCCCTCTCACATAAATATTAGCCACCATATCTAAACACACACACCAGTCTCTGTTCATCCACACACACAAATATACCCCCACATTATGCTCTTCCCTCTCTCACACACAAAAATACCCCAAGGCTTTTTTTCCCAAAAAAGAGGGAGCTATCCCAATCCACCCAACCAGTTCCATGCTTTAAACTCGCTTTTCATTTTCAAGTGGCTTGAAGTTGCTTCTAAAGTGCTGGGAGATGCCACCGAGAGCTTCAGATTTCTACCACTGCTCTACTAACTACATCATACATGCAAGGGTTTAATTTTCCATTCATTTTAATCCTCATAATAAATACACTGACACATTTCTTCCTCTGCAACAACAGCATGTAAAAACATTTTTACATCACACAGGATTTTACACCCAACAAACAGAGAGTCTTTAAGACAGAGGAAAAGGGGTGTGTGGAGTGAGGAAGACGCAAGGACTAGCCAGCAGCCAGGACAACACTGAATTCTAAATATAAAAAATACCCCAGTTACCACTAAGTGGGTGAGAAATATGTCATCCAGGTAGACTATGAAGGTAGCTTGTGGGAGGTAATAAAGCATTTTAATGGAAAGGCTGAATTTCCACAAAAGTGCATCCCACCATGTAAATATTTAGAAAAATAAAAGGACTTGGAAATTGGCTCCTAAGCAAAGAAAGTTGCCTGTAGTGGAGGTTTTTGTGTCATTCTTGGGAGCTGCTCTTCGAAGGTTAATAGAACTCTGGGGAAGCAATTTAAAAAGTGGCAAGTGCAGTACACATATATTTTCATTCCTTAAGAGGGAGGGAGGCGTAGTTTGACTACTGGCCTTTATAGCAGACTTTGCATTTGCTGCTGATCAACATAAAATCTGGCTAAGGGGATGTGTTACCTAAAGGGCACAGTATGGTAATATCTGAGGCTTAAGGCAATGGCTTTTTTCAAGGCTCAGTATCCAGTATATACACAACATCCAGTGAATGGAGTGACAGACTAGATTCAAGAGGAGACTTGGGTTTAAAGTCCTGCTTAGCCATAGAAACTCACCGGAGGGGTGGCACTGGTAGAACTGCTCCTTAAATACAGTGGTGCCTCGCAAGACAAATGTAATTCGTTCCGCGAGAAGCGCTGTCTTGGCGTCCCATAGGAATGCATTACAATGCATTCCTATGGGAACCTCGCAAGACGAATGAAATTTTTTCATCTTGCAAGGCATCGGTCTTGAAAAAAAGTCTTGTGAAGCACGGCCATAGAAGAAGCCGTCTTGCGAGGCACCATAGCGATTGGAAAAAAAACAATTCATCTTGTGTTTTTTTCATCCCATGAGGCTTTCGTCTTGCAAGGCACCACTGTATTTTACGTGGGGTCTGTTCCTACTGCCAGAATAAACTGGCTGAGGGATCATTTTTTAAAAATTCAGGCTAAAGTCATATGGACTTTAGTGGAAATCTAAAACTTTTGAGGCGGTATGTTTGTTTTCACCGCTACCACCACCGCCATCTCCATCTCCTATCAGGTGCATTTGCTCTGCCGGGAGGGGGGGGGGTCGGTAAGGTGAAAACAAGGGGAGGGGGATGATGAGAGAGAAAGGGTCAAGACCATGAGGGCGGGAGGGCACAGAGACAGATGCCAGAGGGGTGGGCAAGTGAGGAGGTGGGCAGTGAGCAAGGAGGAGTGACCAGTTGGGCAAAGGGGTGATTGTGTGGTTGGTCAGGGGGCAAGCAAGTGAGGGGGTGACTGAGTGGTCAAAGGGGTGATTGGGCAGTCAGGGGCTGACCAAGTGAGGAGAGGCAACTGGGCAGGTGAAGGGGCAATCAGGCAGGAGGGCGGGTGGATAGCGAGCAAGCGAGGGGGCGATTGGACAGGTGACAGGGGGTGAGTGATGGGGTGGAAGAGCAATTGGGGAGGTGGGTTATGGTGAAATGAGGGAGGGGTTGAGGTCAGTGCCCCTTTTCTATCAAGCTTGGTGCTTTTATTTATTTATTTTTAAATCCTGCTCTCTGGTAGCAAGAATTTTTTTTAAAGCGGCTGGGGTGCATATGTGGAATCGATTCGAACAAATCAGTTGCACAGCCACCTCAACATAAAAAGAGCTCTGGCAGGAGAGCAGAAAAAACTTGCTCCTCTGGCAAAAGGCTCTGTGTGTGCATGTATCTCGCTGCTAAAATTATTTTTTTTTTTTAGAAGAAGAAGAACCCAGTACAACAGCGGGCTTTATCGTCAGTAAAACTGAGCCCTTGCCAGGAAAGCCCTATTGGGGTCACTACAGTCAGATTCTGAATTGACCGTCCACAACAATAAAGAGGCAGGGCCAGAGGTTGGGTGACCCTAAATGTGTCATTAAAAAAAGAAGTGGTTGTTTTTACAAAATCATTGCTAAAAGCCTACCTCCTGCACAACTGGGACTGCAGAATGCCACAAGAGATGTGTTGAACTTATCTTTTCCCGCTGAGATCCCAAGGACTCCCCAAGCCCTAGGGATAATATCAGCTTAAGAAAAAGTGCTCTGGTTAAAAGTCCTCTCCTTCTCCAGATGCCTCAAAGCTGACATTGTACTGGATTGTCCCATTGATTCATTTCCAGAAAAAAAAACCTTCTTACAGCAGCTCTGCTTCCTCTGGAAACAGTGGCTATTGTCCTTCCTTCCTTCCTTCCTTCCTTCCTTCCTTCCTTCGTGGCTAAAATGGAGAGAAAGAAGGCCTGCATCTCTCCCACAATCTCATATTGATTGTAAGTGTTCCTTACATTTTTAGAAATTTTGCTCCCTTGAAAAATCTCAAAAAATCCTCTCCATTTTCATGGAAGATCAACAATACTATGATCCATTCTTTGTTTTAAACCGTTCAGTGCCTTCCTTCCTTCCTTCCTTCCTTCGTGGCTAAAATGGAGAGAAAGAAGGCCTGCATCTCTCCCACAATCTCATATTGATTGTAAGTGTTCCTTACATTTTTAGAAATTTTGCTCCCTTGAAAAATCTCAAAAAATCCTCTCCATTTTCATGGAAGATCAACAATACTATGATCCATTCTTTGTTTTAAACCGTTCAGTGGAGTTTGTTTAAATGGTGATTTCTATTTTTAATATATTAGGAAAATGTGTTTTGTATAATGTGACTTGTTTGTTAGCTGACTTGGTAACTTATATTATAAATGAGTGTAATCAGTGAAAAATATATGAAATTCTATCTGGTGCTCTAGGATATAGAAACAGTGCCCAAAAGGATTCCTTAAAAGCAAGACTAACTGAAGAAGAATGGATGCTTTGTGGGTAGGCCTAAGGTAATATTTTTGTTCTATTTCTGTAGGTTGCCATACAGAAATTAGATTATGAAGAAGAGGTTTCTTCTTTTTACACAGAGTATCATCTTGTACTTAAGGCAATTTGGCTAGGAATCAGAAAACAAGCAGTTACTAAAGATCACATAATTACTCATGTGATGTTGCTGGTGTCAAAATAACTTCCATTCTATGGCTTTTTACCTGCTTCTCCATCTTGGACCCATGAACACATTCAGGTCTTACCAAAGATATGGCGATGCTTTCATTGAGGGCAGTAAAAATGAGTGTCATGGAGTTTTGATTAAGAACTTTCAGTTTTATTTGTTCATTTATCTGAGGAATAAAACAGGACAATGAAAGGCTGCATGGCTGATTTATGTAATTCTCATTTCCCAATGCCCACATAGTGAAAACTTTCTTTTTCATGTCTGAAGGGTCTCTTGGTTATCGTCGCACTGTGACAGATAGGTTAAAATCATGTTCAGTCTCACCCACATTTAGGAGAAGAAATAACTGCTATAAAAGTTAGGAGATCTGTGTTTTGGGGAGGCAGGCCAGTCCATGACTTTGGCTTTCCTGAAAACTCTAGTCTTGCACAAATGAAGCATTTGAGATCCAAACTGTGCTTGTGAATACAATAAACACACACTAGCTTATCATTGCTATTGTAAGCAGAAGTCATTGCTATTGTAAGCCTGACAGGCTCTCTACTGAGGTAAGGAGAGGAGGTTTAACTCATTGGCTGAAATCCTGTTACTTATCGTAGCAAGTTGGGATGGAGTCAGCTCATGGTTCCACGTATTCAAATGGGCCTGTTCTAGTGTAATGTAATGTATTAAGAAATGAAATCTCTGCCAATTTTCTCACAACAATCCTCTTGTCAAATATGCATCACTGAAGATACTGTAGGATATTATATGAAATATAATATATGAAGATATTGTATTTCAAAGGAAGCTCACAAGTTGAGGCCTTCCACATATTGTTGGGAAATAGTAATGGATGATGGGATTTGTCCAGCATCTGAAGGACTACATGTGCTCTAAATTCTGTTCAGAAGAGAACACAAAACATAGGGAGTAGGATATCTCTGGCAAATGGTTTTTAAAAAGAAATTAGTCTTAAAATTCCTAGAATCTCAAAATAATAAGCTGGTATTTAGTTAAAAGCGGTAGCTAAAAGAGTAATTTGTTGGTAGCATCAGAAAATGCAAATCTCTGCTGTGTGACATGCAGTGGTATGAGATAGAGAAGCACAAAATGAACCTCTAGCATTGGAGAAAGCAAAGGTAGTGGGGTTTTTTTCAAAAGCCTTGCAAGACAATGCTATGCCTTTTGGATGTTTTTTTAATTGAAAGCTTCCTCCCTCAAGAAGGAAGAAAAGGAGGGGCAAGGAAAGGGATTTTTTTTTGTTGTATTGTATTTTTACCCTGCCTTTCTCCTTAAAAAGACCCAAGGTGGCTTATATCATGCAAAAGTCAACATTTAAAAGCTAAAAACAGTAAATATACAAACATTTAAAAAGAATTAAACAAGGATTATAGGTAAAATGGTAACATCAATACTAAATATACATTTAAAGCAACAGAGTATAACAATCCATTTTAAAAAACCCTCAGATGGCCAGTCAGTAAGGAAAAGCCTGCCTGAAGAGAAAGCTCTTTCCCCCTGTTCTTTTTTTCCCCCCTATCTCTTTGAAAGAAGGAAGCCCCACATAAGGTCTCTTGAGTTGCTGGGTAGTTTCCTGGCCTAAAACAACTCAATCCTTAATTGTGAATGCAAATATAGCACCAGTGGCATACTATGCCTCTATCTGACCTTATTTAGCCTGCTCCAATCAGGCCATCTTGTCCTACCTTAATTTTAAAAACTTATCTGCCCAAGTCCTGATAAAATGGAAAGTAGAAGGAACAAGCTCTCTGCCTATCACACCCCTAAGAATACTCCTGTGGAAACATTTGTAGAACTGAGCCACAGCCAACAACTGGCTTTTCCAAAAAGTTAAAATATTTTTTTTTACTTTCCTGGTACTGAGAACAGTAGTAAGAGTGCGGTTTCATACCTGAAAGTCTATCGACTGTAGAATCTGGGTTTTGGAATGCCAGCTCCAGTGGTGGGTTAAATAGCCATCCTTGTCTCTAACGCTTCCTCCTTCAGGATTCATCAGAAGCGCCATTGAACAGCTAGGTGAGGGTAGAAATTGTTAAACAATCACCCAGAGTAGACACGTTCTAGATGGGTGGTATATAAGCTTAACAAATTTCTAAATAAATAAATTTCTGCCTCTACTGATTGCAATGATATTATAAGATTCAACCACAATGGTGAGGAATTGAGTGGTTCTGTTTTTAAGGACCAATATGACTGAATGGTTACATTTGTACTCTGGGGGTAGTGAATTTTGCTATATAGTGTCTCCTCCGTCTTATCAGGAAAGAGATTGATTCACAGAGTTGTCACCTCAGTTAACGCCGCCCACAGCTCTATTTTGGTGTGGATTTGGTGTAGCACAGGCTACAAAACGAGCTACGTATATAGGAGCACTCCAAATCACATTTTAAAAAAAACTGTAGCCCTACCGCTGTGTCAAAGAGGAGTGAGACAGCTCTAAAAAGGAGCTAAATCAAAACACATGTGGATGCTGTAAATCAAACAGCACCAAAAGCGATCCAAATAGTGAGCGTTTTTTGCCAGTGCAGATGGGCACTTAGTTGGCCCAACTTACTGTGTGGATGCTGTAAATCAAACAGCACCAAAGCGATCCAAATAGTGAGCTTTTTTGCCAGTGCAGATGGGCCCTTAGTTAACCCAATTGGCTTTGGCTTCTCTTCCACTTGGCACCCTGTCCCACCAGCCCTGGTCAGTATCAGCCACTGCCAAGCGCCAATACAGTGGCATCACATGTTTCACTTGCAACAGTTATTCAAAGGCATGCTGCCTTTGATACAGGAGGCCAAAGACAACCACTGATATTCTTATGCCCTGCATGAATTTTCCTGATCTTTGAAAAATATCCAACTTGGCAGCTTCATTTGTACAGCTTCATTTAACTACGTGCTGGGTGACGAAGCACTTTGTCCTGAACCATTCATGCTCAGCCTTACTGGTTGACCCCAGCTTCCAATATCGTATGAAATGGAAGGAGGGGGAAAAAAACACCTAGGTAGAAATACCATTTCAGACTGTTTCCTTTCCAAATATTTATCACTCCAGGGCCTATTTTCTCTCTGAGGTGATGTAACCATAGTTGGACGCAGTGGGATTAAGCTCTTAACATCCACCACTAAGCTCCTATATCACACTTTAAAGACCGGGATGTGGGGTAATTAATTATGTCACATATTTTAAAAATGATGGATGAGAGTCATAACAGTAAAACTTTTGGTAACAGCAAACTAAAGGTATCTAGACAACTTGATTTTAAAACTGAATCATAAATGATAAGGAACATTTGGGAGCCCCTGACTTTCTTACCTATACTACTGACTAGTTATTGTGACCTTGGAGGAACCCCTTAGCTTTTTTTTGGTATGGTTGCTAATTATTTATCTGTAAAATGCACATATTGCTTTTCTCACATGATCCCTGAGATAGCTAGGAAGTGAAATGAATTTCTACAAGCATTAATTAATACTTTTAAAATCTTGAGATTGTTACCATTTAATGAATCCTTGCATTAACAATTCTGAGCTTTTGAGGAATTATGCGGAACCCAAGCAGACATCTTAAGAATCCCCGTATACACCAAAATGATCATACAGTGCTCTCAAATGCAACCTGATTAAGATCAGGATTTCCATAATTCACTGAAAATACCCCCGAAAAAATGAACATTTGTTATAAGTACTGTTTTGCTAGCACTACTGTATTTTCTCATTGCACCTTTCATGTCTTGTTGTGTAGCCTAGCTAATAGAACATAAGAACATAAGAGTGGTCGTAACTGACTAGATAGGTGGGATATAAATTCATTAAATAAATAAATAAAATAAACATAGGAAGAGTCCTGCTGGATCAGGCCAAGGGCCCATCTAGTCCAGCTTCCTGTATCTCACAGTGTCCCCACCAGATGCCTCTGGGAGCACATGAGACAACTAGATACCTGTCTCCTCATAGCCCTCCCCTGCATCTGGCATTTGAAGGTACCTTTCTTCTAAGCCTGGAGACTATATATCCCCATTATGGCTTGTAACCTGCAATGCACTTGTTCTCCAGGAATCTGTCCAATTCCCTTTTAAAGACATCTAGGCCAGATGCCGTCACCACATCCTGTGGCAAGGAGTTCCAAGACTAACAGATCTTCTGGGTAAAGAAATATTTTCTTTTCTCTGTTCTCACTCTCCCAACACTCAATTGGAGTGGATGTCCTCTGGTTCTGGTATTGTCTGAAAGGGAAAAGAGCTTATTGCTATCCACTTTATCCATTCCCTGCATCATTGTATAGGTCTCAATTATGTCACCTTTTCTCTAGACTAAAGAGCCCCAAATACTGCAGCCGTCTAGACTAAAGAGCCCCAAATACTGCAGCTGTTCCTCATATGGGAGGTACCTCAGCCCAGTCATTATTTTAATTGCTCTCTTCTGCACCTTTTCCAGTTCCACTATGTCTTTTCTGAGGTGCGACAACCAGAAGTGCATGCAGTACTCCAGGTACGGCCTTACCAGCAGAACTCAGCAAGTACCCATTGTGTCCTGTCCAAACCCCCCAAATTCAGGGTCAGTTGGTGCCACTCACCTGGATCTAAAGCAGTAACGCACGCAAGAATGACCATGTGATGTAAACGAAGCGAGTAGTACATGACTCGGAGCATCTTGAAACAGCAGGGTGATTGTTCTCCCTATGCAGCATAATGGAAACTGACATACCGCAAGACTTCCTGACGGGTAGCTATGACATAAGTTAAGTAACATGACACACAGAAAAGGCATGTATCTGACTTTTCATTTTGTTATGTTATGATTTCCAGATAATACACTAGTTCTGGTCTCATCAATCACCATCTGACAGCATAACACCAGGGCAAAATCCAACTGTAGGTTTCTAGCAGAGCTGATCACCTTCCTGATACAGCTTCATGCCCACAAAGAAACCTTGGACCTCTGGAAAAACCTTCCAAAATAAGTTTTCAGGCAGCATGGAAAGCTGAAGAGGAGAGAGGGAAGAACGTTTTGCTGCTACCAGGAGTGCAATGTTAGGATGTTCTTGTTAGAAGGGATTTCATTAAGTAAGTACTACAAGACTACTCCAGCTGTCCATATTTGCACATCTGGGTGACTTGCTGGTGGACCCCCAACTTGGGAAAACTCCATGACAAATGAGTGTAGCATCACTAGCCTTTGGGTGGGCTCTGAGAGATATCTCCTGAGAACTTATTTAAACATAGTGGTGCAGTCCTGTCACAAGGCCTAAACCACCACAGAATGCAAAGGGAGGGCAGAAACAACTTCTTTGAGAACAGACTGAAACTCATAATCCTGGCCTTTGGCCCAATGTGCTAGGTGTTAACAAACAGTATAATAATCACAGGGATGTATCCAACAGAGTCCACCAGGATGGGAAGGATTTCTGTTAGCAGTATTCCTCATCTTCCCTGCATTCCCACATATAGCATTCAAATCTGCTTTGGAAGGTTCCCCCCCCCCAAGTAGACTGGGGTTGGGGGGCAAGGACTAGTGGAAGAAGAGGAAGGGGATGACTTGTTGCATAGGCAGAAATTCCTTGCATAACATGTGATGCCAGACCTGTTTTTAATGTCTCTAGTCATCAGCCCAGCCCTCTTGTCTGTTGTATCTTTATGTATGCAGAGATCTATGCAAACTTGCTGGTGGAGAAGCTTGATCTGCAGCTTCAGAGAAGTCTCTCTGATCACACATAGGATGACCCTGCCTGTTAAGCAGCTGGCCTCTGAAGGATTATTTCCCTGACATTTTCATAAGCTCAGTGGCAGCAAATGAATCTATTAGCCAGAGCAATGAGCTAAAAGACAGGTATTGGAATAAGCCATGTTGTATTTAATACAATGTGTTGGACAGCAGACAAACTGGCAAATTGAGTTGTTTTAACTGCAGAAGCAATATAAAATCTGGCACTAAGGGTCCTTCCTTCTTCATTCCCCAGTGCAGCGAAAAGATCAAAGAGTGGGTGTGGTTCTGTGGGACAATCCCCAATTAAACAGAGCCAAACAGCCATCAAGGCAGAGAGGAACACAGCAAAGGATTTCCAAAGGGCTTGATTCTGCACTCTTGTTGTGTAAGCAAGGACCAGGGCTGGCATGGCTAAACCACCATGGCTTGAATTATGGAAGTGCTCATACATACCCCTCAATTTTGGAGACACCCCAGTATATGCCAAACTTATGATGTGCTTCACAATGTGGATTTATGGCTAAAAATTAATGGCTATTCCCATGAAAGGGGTAGATTGGAGGTTTGGGGAAGCAGAGCCACAATGCCCAGGAAATACAGCTTTCCTTTTCCAGCCAAACTCCTGGTTAAACCTTCTGCATCCTGTCCTGCCTATGGGCAGTGCTGCAATTAGCATTAGTAGGAAAAGGTAATGCTAAGTGATGTGTACGCATGTATGTTTCCTCATGGTCATGGCTGGGGAGGGAAAGCATAACTCTCCCTTTTTGTATTCTGCACCTTTGTGTATTCTGCACCTGCCACTTTAAAAACCAACAAAAACTATGATGTGATGGCTACTCATCACAGCATTAAATACTTGATAGTCACAGAAGAGGGGCAGGATCTGTTCCCGATCATCCCAGACTGCAGGACACATAATAAAGGGTTCAAGCTACAGGAAGACAGATTTAGGCTGAAAATCAGGAAAAACTTTTTAACTGTTAGCACAGTATGACAATGGAACCAATGACCGTGGGAGGTGGAGAGTGCTCCAACACTGAAGGGATTCAAGAGAAATTTAGACAACCACCTGACAGATATCCTTTGATTTGGATTCCTGCATTGAGCAGGGGGTTGGACTTGAGGGCCTTAGAGGCCCCTTCCAACTCCATTATTCTGTGATTCTATGATGATTCTAACTTTGCATCTAATGAAATCTTAGTTACAGATTTCAGAAGTATGGTAGAGTAATGGTTTTGGGAGTCAGGCTGTACAGTTTGCAAATTTCAGCCAAGGCCCTGAAAATCTTTTCTCTTGTTCATCATCTGTCTACCGTAAAGCGATACTTTTTACAAAGCAAATGAACCCTAGACATGTTCTTTATTTGTTTCTCATTTATTGTGGGTGGGGTGGGGGAGGGGGCATTGTCCATTTGCTCTATATTCTGTGCCTCGTGCATTTCAGCTTAGTTCAAAGAATTCGACATTAATTCCAGAGTAAACCAAAGCACTATTTCATATGGATTTGTTTCTTTTTTAGTGGCTTGCTACTTTCAAGTCAAATCAGGTTGTATTTGAATTTAATAGCTGGGCTAAGAAGGGCCCTCTAGGAGAGATCCAACAGAACAGTAGTCTGTCCCGTTTTCAGACTCCCACATTTCAAGAAGCCTCCAGTTTCTGTGGAGACCTTGGAAATATGAGTTCAAGAGGAATTCTAGGGGGATTGGAATCCCCGAGAAGTCATTTTTCCAGACTTTGCTGTTGTGTTTAAGTGCCACTGATGTAGCCCCCACCTTGTTTTCCAGAACAACTTAAGGATACTACATTGTCACTGTTCCATCAGGAAGGGCAAAGAACATCTTCTTCCCTTTGAAACGTCGGAGCTCATGACCAGCTTGAGAGAAGGAGTCTCTTTTCAGGGCCTGAGATGGGGACCTGTGGATGGTGATGTAGTTTCTCAGTATTAGGGGCCTGTTGTGGCCTTTGGCCAAGGCTGCAGTCTTCTCTTCCTCTCTAAAGGGATGAAAAAACATTGGATTGTCTTGGGTCAGATATACTTATTTGCAGAGGAGTCATCATTTGAATGGACCAGTACAACTGTTTTTACTGGCCTAAACTATGTATTTATTGTATTCTTGAAGGCTTTCACAGTACACCAGAGCACAGACAAGAGTTCTAACTCCTGTCCTCTGAAGATGCTGGTCACAGAGACTGGCGAAATGTTAGGAAGAAAAAAAACTCCAGAACACGGCCAAAGAGCCCGAAAAACCTACAATGACTATGTATTTATTATTGGTTGCATTTATAGCCTGCTTTTCCTCCATTAAGCAAAACATTATCCTCACAACAACCCTGCGAGGTATATCAGGATGAGACACAGCAACTGGCTGCAGATCTCCCTGTGAGTTTCAGGGCCAAGTGGGAATTTGAACTCAGGTCTTCTGAGTTGTAGACCTAATCACAGCACCAAACTGGCTCTAAATCCTATTGCTTGTCACAACCCAGTGAATCAACTGCTGAATGGTAAGTTAACACTTGTTTAAATTCCCTTGATTTGATGGGTCTACTCTCATTGCGACTACCGGCTGGATGCAAACCATTCTCAGGAACCTGTTTTTTTGAGCAGCTGTATAGATACACACATAGATGTGTATGTTGTTTCTGGCATCTAGAAAAACATCACACAGCAGCTGATGGATTCTTACAGGCATAGAAAAGGAAAGGAAATGTCATGTTAATTTACTCATGTATGGTTGCCACCCGAGAGACCACATCTAGCAAAGAATATTGTATCGTTGCATAAATGTACTGAACATGCTTAGTTTCTAAAGTCTCAATCTATGGGCTGGAACTACATTCAGAGCCTTGTCAAGTCAAGTGAGATCAGTGATCCACCTAGATCAGTACATTGGCACTAAACGCCAGTGGCTTTCCAGTTTTTATGACACTAATGCTTCCCAGTTCAACTGGAGATGTGAAGGATTGGCCCACGGGAAATCTGCATGCCCAGGCATTAACTCTGCCACTCAGCTATGGTTCTTTTCCAAGGGGTACCACCAAAATTGGGAGTGCAGCAGAGCTGGGAACATCCCGCTCCATCCCAAAGACTACCCCCCTCTTTCCTGGCCCCAGGGAGGAACTTCTGATTATCACGGGCTCTCCTCAACACTGGAAATATATATTTCCAGGCCATAAAAATTTCAGGTTTTGAAACAAACTCTGGGGTTTTTGGCCAGGAATTCTTACTGCATGAATGAAAGAAAGGCAAACAGGCCACTGAATAACATGACCAACCATCCACTTGTTACCTCTCCAAAGGACTGACTCTTTGCCTTATTTCCTGCTTATTGCTAATGAATTAATACGGTGCTGAAGCAAAGCAGGTGGTCTCTCCAATCTTCGGTGATAAAACTAGCAAACATGCCTAACATTTGCTAGGTAAAAAAAAACCAAATCCTGTTGAAATGTTTCAATGTAAGACATCAGTCTTTAAAGATGGAATGAATCACCAAGTACATAAAAGGGGAGTGTTAAGCTGAGAGCACCTGTCTTTCCAAGAACCTACTAACCATTGCTTTACTGCTAACATTTGCTGCTGATCCTTTGGGCACGTCTATCAGTGGGTAACATATACAAATTGGGTCCCCACATTCATTCCACTGCTAGACCAAGGGCCTGACCATTTAGTTCTGCATTATCTTTTCTACAGTGGGCAGCCACCAGAATTTTAGAAAACTATACAGAGAGATAAGGGCAACATCTCACTCACGCCAGCAACTGATATTCAGGACCTGGGCTGGAGAAACTGGCCTTTTTTGCTTTCACCCACATTAAGGTTGTTTTAATGACAAGTTCCTCCTGTTCTGAACAGGAAGTCAAGTGCAATTCTGAACTGAACTGAAATTCTGGCCAATTTGCATTGGCTTAATTAAACAGGTGCAACTAGTTTAATGTTGGACAATAAGCACTATAGTGGTTTGCACAATTTGCACAAGAGGTCTCTTGTGTGTATTGTCGAAGGCTTTCACGGCCGGGATCTGATGGTTGTTGTGGGTTTTTCGGGCTCTTTGGCCGTGTTCTGAAGGTTGTTCTAGGTAAAGTTCTAGGTAAAGCTGGCATCTTCAGAGGACTGGAGTAGGAACTCTGAACAGATCATGGACAGAGTTCCTACTCCTGTCCTCTGAAGATGCCGGCCACAGAGACTGCCAAAACGTCAGGAAGAACAACCTTCAGAACATGGCCAAAGAACCCGAAAAACCCACAACAACCATCAGGTTTCTTGTGTCTTTTTCCTTTCTGAATCTAAGCACAGATACATCATAAGCACAAGAGGGGTGCAGGTTGCAAGAGAGGAACAATCCACCTCATACTTCTCTTTTAAAATATCTCATGCAACAAAGCAGCAATTACTATCATTTTATATTTCATACATTTACAAAATGCCTAAAAATTGCCTTAAAAATGCCTAAAAAAACTCCTTCGAGTGAGCAAATTCTATTTGACACCAGTAAAAAAAAACCCTGTCCCATTGCAAGGTGTGGTGGGGGTGGATTTTGGGTTCAGCACCTGAAAATGAACCAGGTGACAACTTGCATCCATAATAAAGGTAGGGGTATTTGTATCCATATACGAAGACAGGAGGCCCTGGCGTGCTCTGGTCCATGGAGTCACGAAGAGTTGGCCATGACTTAACAACTAAACAGCAAATATCTATTGATAGGCCTTTCCTGAATTTTTTTCAATCACACTACCAAGCCATTGAAAACTAGCAGATACCACTATATTACAAAATATCAAAATTCTATATATTTCAAGCCAGTTTCATAACTGTAGAAAATTCTGAGTTCTGGTATTAATGGAAAGGGAGAAAAGAGTCTCTCTGTCCACTCAATCCCCCACGCACCCATTCCATTCTTAACTCAGTGCACTCTTTCCATGCCATTAAACTGCCCGCACAATGTAACCAAGCAGGAAGTATATATTCTCTGGTCTAATGGTGTTGCATCCCCACCATAATCAAAAGAGGAGCAGCCACAAAGAAACAAAGGCTGTTTCTCTATTAAGAAAATTACGAACATTCTCATATTGCCCACATATATCAGAATAGGTTGCAACAGCAACCTTACTATCACACAACCATATGGTTAAAACAAAGCAGAAGCAGAAGCAGGGTTTCAAAGAGTAAAGACTAAGAACTGATATTCCACCCTTGTCTTCTTCAGTTAAGGCACTCAAAATGTAAGGGAAGAAAAGGCCTGTGCCTGAGACCTTGGAAAGGTACTATCCATGACCAAAGATTGGGGGAGGGGGTAGCAGACTTTGCAGATCCAGGGAAAGCTAACCTTTCTGCAACCCAGTTATGATGATGGAGAAAATAAGTCTAAATTTCAATTCATGCTTGATAATGTTTGAAGCAATTTCCTTCTCCGCATCTATACAGTACTACTTCCAGAATCTTGTGCAGTTTAATGGAGCCAACCTGTTGTGAGGCTCTTTTACGTTTTTGATGGCACTCACATGTGTCGGCAAATTTCTCTGAGCTTCTCCCTAGCTTCGGGGCACGGATCAAGTCTCTCATCGTAACTTTCCTTTTCATGAAAAGTACGACTGCCACCTTTACCTTTAAACAGAGATGGAAAAGAATATTTGGAAATAAATTTTAAGAAAAGTAGCTTTTCTGAAGTCACTCTGCATACATTTTCTTCTTGTTGTTATATCCCATCAAGTCATCTTTGACTTTTTGTGACTCTATAAAGGAACAACATCCAAAATATCCTATCATTAACAACTCTAGTAGCCATGACAAACTCAAGGCTGTGGCTCTCTTTACTACATCAATCCATTTTATATTTGATCTTCTCTTCCTGCTGTCTTCAGCTTTTCCTAGCATCATTGTTTTTTCTAGTGAGGCTTGTCCTCACACAATGTGCCCAAAGTATGATAGTCTCGGTTCCATCACTTTTTCCTCTAGAAAGACTACAATTTGACATGCACACCACTCCAGAATCACACAACAACCAATTGCAAATGCCACCTGACATTTCTATTAATTGCCCCAGTTCTAACAAGATAATAAGAGATATAAAAGATATCCTGATGAAGCACACAAAATAACTGTCTTGACATTTTGCTTAGTTCAGTCCACACGTATTAAACTGGGCATTAAACAACGTTGTCTGACATCTTTTCATGCAGTGGGGATTTCACCTCCTGCTCCTCCAATCTTCCTGTACCTCCAAATCTATTCTGGGTGTTGATGTTTTATTTGCAACCTTGCATGCTGCCTGTAGTTTATTTGACTGAGAGGGACTTCTTTGGGATGGGCTGATTGTCTATTAAGCACTAACCAATTGTTCCTTCCAGTCTTTGATTTCAAAGAGAACTATGCCTCTCTGCTGAGTGTTGTTTTCCCTCTCTTTCATCTGTTGGTGGCTGTTGTTTGTTTGCTGTTGATCTGTTAAATTAGTTGTCAAGTATGTGTGCAGTAAAGAAAGCAGCATACAGAAGTCTGTAACTTCAAGGAATTGTAAGCAAAGATTTTTTTTGTATTATTTTCCTACAAATGTTTCAGAGTGAGTTATTGAGACTTTTAGTGTCAGTTAATGCAAAAGGGATAGATTATCTGGGAAACTTTTTGCTCTTCTCCTCTGTGGGTCTCTGTACTTCTACTGCATAGCAAAAAGCCCTTTTCCAGAAATTTAAAACTCTGCAGTGCTGGTTGCTCCCTTAACCCTCAGGAGCTTATTTTAAGGTTGCACAGGGAGCTTTTGGAGATGAGTTGTTGTTATGTTATGTGTCATTAACTTGGAACTAATTTATAGCAGTCCTAATAGGGTTTTTCAAGGTAAGAGAAATATTGAGTGGTTTGTCCAGTTGTATTCTACCGGTGAGTTAATATGGGTGAGTGGGAATTCAAACCCAAGTCTCCTGGATTCTAGATTGTGACTCTATCCAATACACCACAAGAGATGAGTTTCTTACTCCCTAATCTGCTGGAATCTATTCTAACCTCAAGAAAAATTAATTGATACTTCTCATTTTTCCAATATAATCGATTCAATATACTTATAGATTTAGCTTGGGTAAATTCTTTTGGGATTATGATTCCTAGAATTTCCCCAACCATCATGGCTAGTGATCCTTGTGTGCTACATCTGAAAGTCTTCATGGTTTTGGTGTTTAATACAGCCAAAATGAGGCTATCAGCAGTTCCTGGGAGTCTCTCCTCACTGGGAATTCCAAGTCACCTCGTATCTAAGATTTCAGAGTCAAAACCTGAGATCAGAAGGTACGTATGCCTTTGTAATGTCACACGAGGTAGGCCTATGTGATATCACAGAGACATGCCCCCTGTGATGTCATATGAGGTGGATTCTGTGATGTAGCAATTGTGGATACGCCTGCTTGCACGAAATGCTTCATGCTCCTTCTCTTAAACAATTGTTATGTATGCAATACCCATACAAACAGCTTTGTGCTGAGCCCTGGCACCACTTAGGAGTGAGGAAGAAATGTGTGCTCAGGCCACAACACACAATAAAACTAGACTTTTTGCTTTTCCATCCCTACTTATTCTGATATTCTGTCTCTCTGCTCTATCTTGCTCCCTGTGAGGAAGCATAACAATTTCTTGAAACTTCAGCTAGCAGTCCTCCTCCTCACCCTCGTCCTCACCCGTATGCCCATCCTCTGACCCAGACCTTGAAATGGGGTCCCTCATCAGTTCTAAGTGAAAAGTGACTGTGCTGGGGATTCCCCCACCCTTTGATTCTGGTTATGTTAGAATCTGTGGTTACCTGAGCTCTTTGACGCCTTGCTGTCTTTGAATGCTAATGAAAAGCAAAGACAAGAAAATGACATTTGCTGCACAAGCTGGGTGGTGGAAGAAATCTGAATTGCTGGAACAGCTGGGGCTGCACCACGCCCTGTTGCAACAGAGGAGAAATGGAGGAAGGGTAGAAGACATTACCTGGAAATTCAAATTGAAAAAATCTATGGGGAATAAGAAATGAATTACCAGAAAAGTGACACAAAAATATATTCACAAATATTAACCACATGTTGTTATTACTAGGGGTGTGGGGAAGCCTGCTCTTCATCCAAATACAGGGCATAAAGATGCAGCTGGCCCCCCTTTAGGAGACATTCCCACCCACACCATCCCCAGTTCAAGACATTATTTTGGTTTCTGGATTTCTCTCTCTCTCTCTTTCTCTTTTAAAAGAAGATTCCTGCAAATGAGGAAGAAAATGGCCATGGCCTAGGGTGGGGTCAAAGGCTACACACATGATTACTGTTTGACATTTTTACTCAAAGCCCATAGAACAGCAAATCTTCCACCATTTCTCTCTCTCTCTCTCTCTCTCTCTCTCTCTCTCTCCAGGCTGCTGCTGCCTCCTGGCCTCTCAAACCCCACTGCTCCCAGTCTCTCTCTCTCTCTCTCTCTCTCACACACACACACACACACACACACACACATCTTAATAGTGTAATAATAGTTCAGTAAAGTTTAATAAACCAAACTGAGCGAGAGAATGATGAAAAAGAATATGTCCGCATGCAGGGGGGGGGGGAAGGAAGGGGCTGTGACACCTCTTCTTCCTTGTCTTCTCCCTCCAGCTCCACAAAATGGCTGACGGAGCAGCTGCAAGGGAATCTGTATCCTGCACAATGAGCTCATTCAGAACTGTACTCAATGCCTCAGGAGTTGTAAAGTCCAGGTTGGGGGGGGGGGACATTGTGAACCCTATTGGGGTATTTAGCTGTCATTCACCTTCTCCTTTGGTGCCAGCAGTTCAGTCTACTGGATTACTTTCAAGCGCCATTTTCCTCAATTTGAGTTACTGACCTTCATTTCAAGCCCGAGAATGCTAACTGGGGCACCAACAATCCATTGTGGTGTTCCTTTGCCCTGTGGATGACCATCTCCTTTCTCCAGCCTGTACTCACTTCAGAACCACACAAATATTCCTGATTTTACCAATTTCTGCACTTTGCTCTGAAGAAAATGCACATCCCTAATTTTTCCCATGAAGTATTGGGATGAAGATTCAAAGGAATTCTGCCATTGATATACAATAGCACAAATGCTATTGCTTAGTGTAATACGTTGCACTGCACTAGGTCCCCTGAATCAGTTGAGATTTGACAAGTTGACTGGGCCTATGGTAGTTGTTACTTCCTTCACTAAAGTTGCAATGAGAGTAGTCCCATTGACTCAATGGAATTTACCATGGAGTTCTTACTAGATCCCCACTGATGTCATGTTAGCCACCCTTGATGTAATCAAACAAACAGAATTAGCACAACAGGGGAGGAGGTATGTCTGCTTGCCCCTTGCTATGCTGCTTTTCTGTATACAGGGAGGTAATTTCCCCAGAGAAAAGTTGGAACTTCTCCCTGCCCCCTGCGAAACATCTGCCACCTGAAATACAGAGGAGACAAGACTAGTGTAAACAGTAGCAGAAGGTTCCCATGAGAAGATCCTGACATCTAGGACCACTGTTTTCCCCACCCACCCCCCTGACCTTTCCTCCTTGGTCCTTTGCTCATGAGTTCCTTTGCTTCTTCACGGGTCTGAGGGCTTAGCTGTCGACCGCCTTCCAGGAATCGCCTTGCAGTCTCTTCAGCGTTTGGGCCTGGGAAACAGACAGGATGTTTAAAAAGCCGCTTTAAACAAAGTTAGATCACTGTTCCGTCGATTCTAACACAGTCGATTCCAATTGACAGAGGATCCCCAAGGTTTCAGGCAGGTGTCACTCCTCAGTGCTCGCTAGAGATCTCTAGTTTGCCTGAGTGCCTCCCAGCCAAGTATTAAGATCCTGCTCAGTTTCTGAGATCACAAAAGGCTAGGGGACTTCTGGGTGCTCTGTTGGTATCACCAGAAAAGGACAGGAAAATTCCTTCCTAAAATGCGGGAGGGCTGCTGCCAGTCAACATCTGCAGCCCTGCTTAGCTTCCAAAACAAGGCAAGATGGGTGTGTATGAGGTGGTAACAAAGCTTCTGGCTTGCCTCTCCCTCACTTTATCCTCATGAAAGCTCTGGGAGGTAAAATAGGTGCCTGCCTCAGGTCACTCACTGACTCTCGTGAATCACCAGGGACTAGATCTCCACCTTCCAAGTCCAGACTTCTAACCAGCGCACCTGCTGTCAGACTTGTGTAGGGTCTCTGTCCAGCTTAGAACCCCTCCAACCTACAAAGGTCTAGATCATACATGGAGAGTTCACATGGTGACCTTATCCCTTCAACACAGAAAAGCCAATAGAGCTCTGTGGGAGACGTGACGTAGCAGAAGCAGGCTGGTGACTGTGTCCCCACTCTTGCCCTAGAACCAAATTGCAGCATCTTCTAGAAACAATTAAGGTGCAGTTTACAAACAACAACCCTGTGTGAAGAAGTGGCTAGGACAGAAGAAGGTCAGAGAAGCTGGTGGCTTCCAGATATCATGAACTTCCATGAAGTCTAGACAGTATTGTGGTCAGGAATTATGGGAAACTAAATTTGAATACTCGGTGTGGTGCAAAGAAACAAAAAGCAAAGTGTGCTGCTTATATTCCACCCCATGGCGCTTAAAGCCCTTTCTGGGCAGTTTACAAGTTAATTATTCAGGTTACACATTGCCCCCTTCCCCAGCAAGCTGGGTACCAACTCAGAAGGATGGAAGGCTGAGTGAACCTTGAGATGACTACCTGGGATTAAACCCCAGGTTGTGAGCACAATTTTGGCTACAGTACTGCAGTTTAACCACTGTGCCACAAGGTAAGTAGTGGATAGACTTATAGACTAGGATTCTGGAGACCAGGGTTTGAATCTCCACTTTTAGCCATGGAAACTCACTGGGGCTGTGGAATTGGTAAAACTACTCCTTAAATATCTCACTTACCTGGAAAGCCCTGTTAGGGTTGCTATAAATCAGTTCCAACTTGACAGTATGGACCAACAACAATATCAAATCAGAAACATAGATTTTATAGAATGATTATTCAAAAGTAGAACTACGCCAAATATTCAGACGTAAAAATACAAAGTGTTATGATACCTTAAATACTAATGGATTTCAGTGCAAGTTTTTGTGGATCAAAATCCACTTTGTTGTGTGTCTAAGAAAGTGAATTTTCATTAACAAAAGCTCACACTAGGACTCTCTTTTGCCCTGGGAAAGGAAACCTTGGGATGGGGAAGAGTATTTCATAGTTTTAAAAAAATCACCACTGGATCACCATTATTATGATTGGGATGTTCAGACGTAAAAATACAAAGTGTTATGATACCTTAAATACTAATGGATTTCAGTGCAAGTTTTTGTGGATCAAAATCCACTTTGTTGTGTGTCTAAGAAAGTGAATTTTCATTCACAAAAGCTCACACTGGCAAAATCCTGGTGTGTAATTTTGTGCGGTGTAACCTAGATTGGGCGCTGTAACATTTAATTTAAAGTAATTAAAAGCTTCCTATGCCCCTCTTTTTGGGGGCTGAGGCTCCCTAGGACTCTCTTTTGCCCTGGGAAAGGAAACCTTGGGATGGGGAAGAGTATTTCATAGTTTAAAAAAATCACCACTGGATCACCATTATTATGATTGGGATGGCTGGCAGAGATCTGGCAGCAATTTTTTTTACTATTATAAACTCTCTCCCATCATCTGGAGCCTTACAAAGGCTTCCCCAGGGCAACAGGGAGCTCTAGGGAGCCTCAGAACCCCAAAAGAGCAGGACCTGTAGCTTTTAATTGCTTTAAACCACTGGTCCCCAACATTTTCCAAATAGCTGACCAGATGGGGGTGGGGTTTATGCGTGGGGTGTGTGCTTTTTGGTGGTCACGCTTGGGTCACGCTTGTGCGCATGCATAGATGGGCAGGCTGTGCTTGTGGGTGGGTGGGGTGCACTTGCACGCACATGCAGATGGGCAGCGCATGCTCGTGGATGGGTGGAGTGTGCTCGCGCGCATGCACAGATGGGTGGAGCACCCCTCCGTGCAGGTGGGTGGGCTGTGAATGCAGGTGTGGGGGATGCATGCGCGGGGCCGGGAGATCTGTCTCCCCAGCCCAGTCCTTCCAAGGCCACAGACCGGTACCAGGCCATAGACCCGGGGTTGAGGACCCCTGCTTTAAATTACACTTCTGGTCCGTGATCCAGGCTATATGCCACACAAAGTTACACAAACAAGATTTTCTCCATTGAAACAAATCTATTCATTTTTTAAAAGTATCATAAGAATTTCTCTGTTGTTCCCCCCCTTTCCCCATTTTTCTTTTAGATAGACGACACTATGTGTTCCCTGAAAATAAATTCTCTGCCAATGTTTAGTGCTCCTGTTGCTGCATCTGTACAACTATAATGGTTTTAGAGTTGTTTTGTTTTTGCTGTTAGTTCATAAACCTTCTTTGCCTTCCCTAAATAATCTTGGTCAATAAGGAGTCACATAGTAAGTGTGATTATGTCAAGATGCCAAGTAGTGGATTGGATTTTAGCTAGATATTGACATTACTAAGAAGGACCACAAAGCCAATTCAGAGTGATGGCTATATTGACTGCACCTTTACTTTATATTGTTGAAATGGGTGTCTGTTTCTGCATTTTATATCGTATTGTTACTCCGCCCCTTTGCCTGTCATTCATAGCTTGTTGTTGCAACTGTTGCTCCATAAAAGGATCACTTTTCCCATCTTTTGAACTCTCCCACTGAAACTGCACATAAGGAAAGGAAAGCACATACACCTGAACACATATTCTAACTGAAGGTAACCTAAATCCTTCAAAGGAGAAACTATTGAAATAACACAGGTTGTTCCTTCATGCACCATAGATGCACAGACAGTGACTAGGGTCAAATTCCACACACAATGGTTGAAATCCAGTAGTAAGTCATAACTAGAGTTGACTCAAGTTGACTCACCAAATCTGCTACTCCAGCTGCAACTTTCTACTGGATTCACTTACTGTCAATGGCGGTGATATACCAAAACTCACACAAGTATGCCACAGTAAACATACAGAAAACTCCATATCACCAGAAACTCTGTTTCTCCATAGTTCCAGATTGTATGAAGCACTGTATAGACTTGCATGAACACTGCAAGCGTATGCTGTCTTGTGTCTTACACAACTTCACTTTGGCCAAGGAAGATGAGCTGCTTTGCTTGAACTATTTCCGGAGATGCCTTCACTCCATATGTACAAGCAAGCTCACCTGCAACAGCATCAATCATTATCTTCATCTTCATCTTTAGCAGTTCAGACAAAAGCTGGACAGACCGTTTTTGGAATCTGAGGAGCATCTGTTGATTTTCAAATGAAGGCGACACATAATTAGGCTTTGCTGCAGAGACTGTAGTGGCCACTTTTTGAGTTCTAGAAGTCGCAGCTGAGGAGATTTCAGCCTCGTCAGGAGAAAGGAACTTGACAACAGGACAATATATGCCACTGAAAGATTTCCTTGGTGGTAACACCATGAGTTCGTCCCATGTGAATTCAAAGATGTTCTTGACACCTCGTGGCACATTGAAGCCCATTTTCCGCCACACGAGAAGCATGTGTACCATATCAGCCAAAATCTTTGGTGCCTGGGCTTTCATTTGTTCATAATCAAGGTTTTTCCTTTTTTCAGCCTTGTGGTCAGCCTTTTGCTCAGGCTTCTGTTCACCCTTCTGGTTATCCTTTGGGTCCCCTTTTGGGCTGCTCTTCTGCTCAGCCTTTTGATCCCCCTTTGGCTCAACCTTTTGGTCACTCATATCAGCAATGCACCCATCAAATGGGCTATCATTGATGAGTGGAGATCTAAATGAGAAAAATATTGAAAAGAAAGACAGAGAAGGATCAGTGTCACTATTTTTAGCAATGACTGTGTCATTTGACAAGTGATTAATGTATGTATTCAAGTGTAAGAGTTAATACACATATTCATTTATTTATTTCAGTTCTATCAGGCGTTTCCTCCAATGTAGCTCAAGGATGCACTTAAGGGGTTCCCAGGACTTCCTTCTCGGTACTGACCAGACCCAGATGCTTTCCTTCAACAAGAGAAACCCACTTTATATTACTTTCTTGCCTGAAGAAGTGAAGTGTGTAGTAAACCCCTGAGCATGTGTACTGATCCTTTTTAAAGCCATGGACATATCACTGTGCTGGGATGGGTTCTGCCCCATTTTACAGTCATCTTTCTCTTCAACACACCCAGCACATCTTTTCTCATAAAAGCTCTTGGCTTTTATGTTGCCTGAGATAAACCAAAATACTCCCAAGAGAAATCACAGACTATAGGCTTTATAGCCCAAATTTCTTTGATCCAGAATCAATAAAACCGTAAGAAGGGATGGACAATTTTGACCATCAAAAAGTATTGTGCTACAACTTCTACCAGCCCTTCTGAGCACAGGATGGCGGCTCTAATCCAAAATATCTGGTCAAAATTTCCTAACTCTAGGCTCAAAGATATAATTAATCCCCCATCTTTAACAGGCATGCCAAAGGATCAGTTCTGTGTTACCTGGTCCCCATAGATGCAGAAGCCTGTACTTGGTTATGAATTCTAGTAGCTTCCATTTAAGCACCAAAAACACTTTACTCCTCCATTACTGCAAACCAGTAGAACAAGAAAGAATGCTCTTGTTCAACTTCTGGGTTCAGCATTTTGTGTAAACACATCTAAATAAGTGAAACTTTGTAAGTGTACAGCCCCAGTTTAAAGACAATTTATGATCTTGGCTTGGCTAGGTCCACTTAATCAGGATCCTGGGTTCAGTTGGAATATTAGTGCTGTCTTTTCCAAATTTGTTTACCTGCTCATGAGAAAGGAAGTGTGCAAGGGCTAAGGCATCAGTATGCAACTTGTTCACATCAGGTTTTTTGTCGCGCATCAGTATGCAACTTGTTCACATCAGGTTGCTTAGTTTTTTGTCGCTTGGGAACATTGAGAGTCATCTTTATTGATAGCCAGTGTGGTGTCCGCCCAGGTCATGAATATTAATACTGTTTCAATGTACCAGTGAGAGTGCTGGAGAGGTGGAGACACCAGATATAAGAGTCTCTGCAGGAGGGGGAGTTGAGCAGGGAGGTTTTGGAATTGGGAATTTGGAGTAGAGAGAGGGGGGGTGGGTAGTTGAGAGTAGTGAGGTAGGATGTTTGGTTAAGAGTTAAAGACCTTGATTGTACCTTCATCACCTGTATTAATAGGCAACTTCTATTTGATTCTATTTAAAATGACCCATGGCCTGGACCTCTATTATTAATGATACATAATGTTGATGTGGTCAACTGGTTGCAGTGACAAGACACGTAGCTTGTGCCCTTGGATTGGTGAAACAACCAAGGGACAGGAGAGAAAGTGATAGCTATAATTGGCATCAATGGAAATTGTTGTTGTTGAGTCATTAAGTTGTGTCTGACTCTTCATGACCCCATGGACCAGAGCACACCAGGCTCTCCTGTCTTCCACTGCCTCCCAGAGTTTGGTCAGATTCACATTCATAGCTTCGATGACATTGTACAACCGTCTCGTCCTGTGATGTCCTGTTCTCCTCTTGCCCTCACACTTTCCCAACATTTGTTTGTTTGTTTGTTTGTTTGGCTTCTACCCCGTCCCTCTAGACAGAGTCTACTTGGGGTGACTTACAGTTATAAAACATCATAAATATAACCATATAAAATCATCATTATAAGCATCAAAATATATCACATGATTAAATCAATAAATGTAAAGGTTCAAGATGGAGGAAAAGGGGAACTAAAGAGAAAAGAGAATCAGATGTTGACTGGAGGGAAAGCCTAAAGAGCCAAGTCTTTAAATGACTCTTAAAAACACCCAGCGAGGGTGCCAGGGTAATTTCTGGCGGCAAGATGTTCCATAGTCAAGGGGCCACTGCCGAGAAGGCCTCGTTTCTTGTTCTTTCTTTCCGGGCCTCTCTCGGTGTTAGGCCCCTCAGCCATCTTTCCTGGCTAAAACTCGGGTAGATCTTGGTGGGAGAAGGCGTTCCGCCATGTATTGAGGTCCTTTGAGGCAGCTGCCCCCAAACTATGGACCGCCATCCCGAGGGAGATTCGTCTGGCGCCAACGTTGATGACATTTCGGCGCCAGGTCAAAACCTTCCTGTTCCAGAAGGTTTTTAATTGAAAAAAAATATCAACTGCGGGTCCTGATGACTGTATTTTAATGGTAGTTTAATTGTTTTATCTTTATATCTTTTATGGTATTTAAATTGTTGTAAGCTGCCCAAAGACCTTTGGGTAGTGTGGGCAGCAAATAAGATCAGGGTCTTTTCCAGGGAGTCTTCTCTTCTCATGAGATGGCCAAAGTATTGGAGCCTCAGCTTGAAGATCTGTCCTTTCAGTGAGCACTCAGGGTTGATTTTCTTCAAAATGGATAGGTTTGTTCTCCTTGCAGTCCAGGGGACTCTCAAGAGTCTCCTCCAGCAGCACAATTCTAAAGCATCAATTCTTCGGTGATCAGCTTTCTTTATGGTCTAGCTCTCACTTCCGTACATTGCTACTGGAAAAACCATAGCTTTGACTATGCAGACCTTTGTCAGCAAGGTGATTCTCTGCTTTTTAAGATGCTGTCGAGGTTTGTCATCACTTTCTTCCCAAGAAGCAGGCTTCTTTTAATTTTGTGGCTGCTGTCACCATCTGCAGTGATCATGGAGCCCAAGAAGGTAACATCTGTCACTGCCTCCATATCTTCCCCTTCAATTTGCCAGGAGGTGATGGGACCAGTGGCCATGATCTTAGTTTTTTTTTATGTTAAGCTTCAGACCAGTTTTTGCTTTCTCCTCTTTCACCCTCATTAAGAGGTTCTTTAATTCCTCCTCACTTTCTGCCATCAGATTGGTTTCATCTGCATATCCGAGGTTGTTGCTATTTCTTCAGCAATCTTAATTCCAGCTTGGGATTCATCCAGTCCAGCCCTTTGCGTGATGTATTCTGCATATAAGTTAAATAAGCTGGGGAAAAATATACAGCCTTGTTGTACTCCTTTCCCAATTTTGAACCAATCATTTGTTCCATATCCAGTTGTAACTGTTGCTTCCTGTCCCACATATAGGTTTTTCAGAAGACAGATAAGGTGGTCAGGCACTCCCATTTCTTTAAGGACTTGCCATAGTTTGCTGTGGTCCACACAGTCAAGGGCTTTTGTGTAGTCAATGAAGCAGAAGTAGATGTTTTTCTGGAACTCTTTGGCTTTCTCCCTAATCCTGCACATGTTAGCAATTTTGTCTCTAGTTCCTCTATCCCTTCAAAATCCAGCTTGTACTTCTGGGAGTACTCGGTCCTGCTGAAGCCTAGCTTATATAGAAATGAAGACAACTTTACTGGACCAACTAACACCTGAAAGCTCTGGGTCTGCACTAAGGCAGCAGGTATATAAGTGCACAGCTCCAAATTGTGTTTTGAAGACTGCAACATGAAATGGACCATCTGAGAAGAAGAAAGAATTGAGGAAAAGCAAGAAGTGCATGCAGTAAAAAACAACAACAATGGACCATCTGAGAAGAAGAAAGAATTGATGAAAAGCAAGAAGTGCATGCAGGAAAAAGAACAAGAAAGCATGCTGCTTAAATTCTGCCCTATAATGCTTAAAGCACTCTCTAGACAGTTTACAGTTTAATTATGCAGGCTACGCATTGCCCCTCAGTGAGCAGGGTACTCAGTTTACTGACCTTGGAAGGATGGAAAGCTGAGTGAACCTCAAACCATCTATGTGGGATTGAACCTGCTCATGAGAGGATGGAAAGCTGAGTGAACCTCAAACCAGCTATGTGGGATTGAACCTGCTCATGAGGAGTTTTGGCTGCAGTGCTACAGTTTAATCGCAGTTTTGGCTGCAGTGCTACAGTTTAACCTGTAGGCTCTTAATCGCCAACGCTGAAGCTCATTATCTACTTCCTTAAAGTTTCATGAAGAGATACTTACAGATTGTGAGACCACTAACATGGAGCCAGGACTCATGAGTTTCAAGCCTATTTAGTGCAGCTTCTGAGGTCCTTTGAAGTTCATTTTAGAAGAAATTGATTGCCCCCCTGGCCTAGAGAGAGAAACAAACTTCATAGGCTTTAAGCATAAGATGTGAATTGAATGATCATATATAATTGAAAAGACCATGAAAATGAAAACACACATTTAGAGGGCATTAAACCTTCCCAGCACAAACATCCTTACTTGTTTTTTATTGTCCCTGCAGTCACCAATGAATGAGAAGTCCAGAAAGAGTCATAGGCATTTCAAGTGTGACAGATAAATTACTTTTGATTTAATTAGAAAAAGCAACTGAAGCAATTTCTTAATTACAAAGTAAACTTCCAACTGGAACTAATAAACTGTCAGTCTAAGTTTTATGTAAGTTCAGCGTTCTGTGGCAGGCTAGAGGCTGGTACCCCCCCTACAGAGGAATGGCTAATTAAGGAGTGGTTACTCACCCAAGGCAGCTTTGTAGAGGATTTTTTTTATTCAAGTAAGGCTGTCTGTTTGTGTTTTTTGTTTTTTAAAAACATCCTTGTTTATTTGTAAAAGACTCAATAAGTTTGAAAGTTTCTCTAGAGTAACTGAAGCCAGACACCCAAACTGTGGCAGAGTTCAGAATCCTGGGAATCGCTTAGCTTGCGTTAACTTTAAAGCATCAAAATGAAATAACCTGCCTTGCACAATGCCACATGCAAGGAATTCTAAATACACCATTCTGAACAGAACAATGCCACATGCAAGGAATTCTAAATACTCAAGTGTCCCTCACCATTCTGAACAGGAGAATTATTTAAATAACACACTTAGATACAGAAATGTTGGAGGCTAGAAACAGGAATGTCCTAGTCTAGACAACACTGCCCATCGGAATTGGCTTTACATCTTGAGGCAGAAATGTAAACATGTCACAAAGCTTGCAGGTCATTGCAACTGCTCCTTCAATGTTCATGCCTTTTGTCTTCTGCTAAACACTAGCTTTGCCTTCAGCCAAGTCCATGATTTACTGCTTCTCAGCTCTAGCTTCCTTTTAGCTATAGCTCCTCCACGTAGCACCATGTGCTCAGAGCAGAACACATGATTACAATATTAAGAAGAGCCAAAAAACATTCAAATAAAACTTTATCTATTCCTCCTGGTAGTAGGAGCAAGAGATGTGTTCCACACTGAGGAGGGGGCAAACCAAGCCCTTCTTGTGCATAAGACGTCCTAGGTTGGGGTGTGTGTGTTTATCATTGGCATAAAGGTATGAAGTGTCATACCACTAAACTTCTTCCATGATATAAGGTGGTGCAGGAAGTCTGGAAACCTATTTTAAAAATGTACAAAGTAAGATAAGGTGAAGTTTCCTTGATATCAGGGAAATTCTGTTATGATAGTTCAAAACCCAATACTTAAAGGGGAACACGTTTTCCATCTTGAAGGGCCCTTCCTGGAGAATAAGAGTAAAAGGGTGGTAACTCTACACATGTCCTCTTGGTAGGCTTCCCACAAGCATCTGATTGAGTGTCATGAAGCAGGATGCTGGACTAGACAGGCCTTTGGTCTGATGTAACATGAGTTGCCTTGTATATTTTGGTAATGGAAATGGAATATTTCCTCATAGCTCTATGAGGAAAAAGTCCTGGTTTTTATACCCAGCTTAAAAATATTATACAAAAATGAAACAGAGGAAAGGTTATCGTATGCTTTTATGTGCACATATGTTAGTTGAAACAGAATAAATATGGAATTAGCCTCTGTGAGGAAGCAGAAATCTCCTTTGATCCCCTTTCAATCTCCAAAGGTTAAAGATATGAACATTATAATAATTATTATTTTAACTCTCACCCCTTCTCCACAAAGATCAGGATGTCAGGAATTGCTCTGAACTGCATTTTCTCCTCACAGCAAACCAAAAGGGTCAAAGAAAAGGTCCAGTAAGCTTAATGCCAGAGTGGAGATTTGAACCCAAGATCTCTCAAATCTTTGGCAATATGCCAGCTCTTTCAGTCCCAAACTCCTATCTTACATTTACATCTCTTCTGTCATAACATCCACTTATTTCATCTTTTATTCAGGTGCAGTACAAACCAGCCATTTCCACCATTTCATGTGCATGTTTCACAGGTGTTCTAACATTATTTTATATATTCCCCTTTGGAAGAAAACTCATTATCGGTTATTTTCATATAATTTGAGAATAAAGGATAGCAGACAAACAGCTGCACAAAATTTATTGGGCTACCTTGGGTCATGATTTGTTAAAAAAACACACCCTGCATTGTTAACAGCTGCTAGGAGATGGCAACAACAACCAGCAAGGGGGGGGTGGAATAGAAGTTTGAGCAACTTATGAAAAGAGGCTGAAGTCAAAGGCAACCAGCTCATCTTCTAGTCAACGGGTAGGAAACCTGTTATCCTCCAGATGTTGCTGGACTGCAGTCCACATCCCCCCTGAGCACTGATCATGTTTGTTGAAGTTGTTGCGAGCTGACGTCTGCAGCTCTTGGAAGGCCACTGGTTCCTACTACCCCCCCCCCTCTTCTACTCCATGGGTAGCACTGTACAAACATCAGAAACAATAATATGCACCTATGGAGTGACTTGACCTGGCTGGATATCTTATTGGTTTAGGTAACAACAACAAATGGATAGGCAAATGTCCACAATTAATCCTGATTATACTGAGGTAATATGAACTGTGTGCCTTAACTGACAAACCAGTTTTTAAGTATACAAAGTCTTCCTCCTTCAGGGAGCAGCATCTTCTTGGATGGTTAATAAGAACAGAGAGATGAATGCTTGAAAAAAAAAAACACCCCTACCCCTCTGAAAGGTCATTTCCTATGAAACATTAACAAGCCATTAAACATTAGAACAGGCTGATTTGGGAAATGGTGGATTCTCCTTTACTGGAGATGTAACTATGCATTTCTTGCAATGCTGGGAGTTGGACCAGATGACATTGTGAAGCTCATTTCCAACGTGATGATTCTAAATTTCCCCTCTCCAGAAGAAGACATAACATTAAACACTGAAGGAATAAAGGAATGATTTATTTCAGGGTCTTTATACAATTCAAAGCAAGAGAGATGGGGAGGCATTAATTCCCTTCAATCCAAGTTTCCTCAAAATATTACACACTACACAAAGGAAGCCCATCCCACATCATCATATCTAACTTCAGGAGCAGCCTTTCCCATCTTAGTGCCCTCCAGGTCTGTTAGATTACAACCTCAAGCATTGCCATTAAGCGTATCAGCTGTGGATTGTGGGAGCTGTAGTCCAACACATCTGGAGTGTCACCGTTTCCCACCCTAGTCCTATGGGGTAGAATTTAACTCTTATTCTCTGTCTTGAGAATAACAACACTGCCTGGTTCTGGAAGGGATGCCCATCACTACAGAAGACTGCATCCTCTCCTTTATTAGAAAGCCTCATAGCACAATGGTTAAACTGCAGTAAAAATATTTGCTCACAACCTGCGTTTGATCCCAACGGATTCAGGTAGCCAGCTCAAGATTGACTCAGTCTTCCATCCTTCTGAGGTCAGTAAATTAAGTACCCAGCTTCGGGGTGCAGATGTAGCCAATATGTAGGAAATATGTAGGCAATATGTAGCCTATATGATTGAATTGAGATGGCTTTAAGCACTATGGATCATAAGCGTCACACTTTGCTTTTGCTTTCATAGAATCATAGAATAGTGAAGTTGGAAGGGGTGTATATGACCATCAAGTCCACTCCCCGACTGATGCAAGAATGCAAATCAAAGGATATCTGCCAGGTGGCCGTCTAAGTTTCTCTGGAGTGCCTTGTGTTTGAGCACTCACCTCCTCTCGAGGTAATTGGTTCTACTGTCATACTGCTCTATCAGTTAGGAATTTCCCCTCAATATTCAATAGAAATCTAGCTTCCCGTTACTTGAGCCCACTGATGCATATCCGGCACTCTGGGAAGATTAAGATCCTGACCCTCCTCTGTATGACAGCTTTTCAAGTATTTGAAAAGTGTTGTATCTCCCCTGTCTTTTTTTCAAGGCTAAACATGCCCAGTTCTTTCAAGTCTTTCTTCATAGAGTTTGGTTTCCAGTTCCCCTGATAATTCTTGTTGCCGTCCTCTAAACTTGTTCTAATTTGTCCGCATCCTTCTTGAGGTGTGGTGTCCAGAACTGGATACGATACTCAATCTGAGGCCTAACCAGTGCTGAATAGAGGGGAACTATTGCTTTGCTTTATTAATGGCTACCTAATAAAAATGAAGAAGCAGTACGTCATATGCCAAAGATCTTCGGTTGAGTCCATGGTATCTCCAGGTAGAACTGCAGAAACTTGCCTAATCCCCGGGAGAGCTTCTGCCAGTCTGTGTTATGTGGACCACCTTGGCTTAGGTGTACCAATGGTTTGATAAGCAAAGTTTTCTATGTCCCTAGTATAATTTACTGCATTCAGGCACAATAAACAACCATGTAAGAATACAGTTCAATTTCATTTTCTGTTGTTATTGTCCAAACATTATTGCTTATTGTTCTTCAACCTTATACATACCCAGTCAATTCAATACTTAAATAGCGTGGCTGGGTATAGTGCACAGAGACCTGCATGAGGGCCAGGGAGACTCAGGTTCCAAGTTCCACTCTGCTCTTAAGATCAGATCTTGGGGCTTGTCACTATCAGACTGCTTAACTTACCTTGCAGATTTACCCCAGGGTACGAGAACATCTTTGGATGAGTTATCTCCTTGAGATCACCTCCACTGACAAGCAAAAGTGATGGAAGTTGCCAAGATAAGAATCAGAACCAGTTCTACATAAGGACTACTCCCCTCCATACCCAGTAAGCAGAAATCCCGCGTGCTGAAAAGCAGTCTACCTACACTGTAGAAAATAATTGTTTTGAGTTCTTCCTCTAGCTAGAAAGCAGCACAGATGCCACCTATTTAGATACAGACATACAGTGTACACTCTACATGCAAGTTTTATACACTTAGTCTGCGTTGGAGTGAGAGTGGGTTTTGTTTTTGTTGTTCTAATTGATAATATATAATTATGTCATCAAGAATCCAGACTAAATGGTACCATTCTTTGGAAAAGACTTTGGATTACTTACTTTCTTGTGGATGATGTCTCTGAAGCTACAGCATTGGCAAGTGGAAGATGGGGCAATGCAGCACATTCTATACAACACTGACTGTTCCTGTGTCACAATAGGAGAGAACCTTCTAATGTAATCCCCATAGTGAAGAACTGTATTGACCTGGAGGCTCCTTTTGGCTTCTTAAGTGCATTTTACTGTTGAAATTTGGAAAAATAAGCTTGAGAAGCTCCCTCCGCTCCTTCTGGAACACATAGCAGTTCCCCAAGTGCTATCAAGTGACAGTGGGAAACAGAGACCACCGTTAACATGTACAGCAACATCATGGGATGCAGAGGGACCATCACTGGTTAGTAATGCACGTATTTTGCAAACACAAGGCTGCAGATTAAAATTAGGGCTTGGAAGCACTCTTTCCTGAGGTCCTCAAGAACTGCTGTGGGTTAACATAGACAATATTGAGCTAGGCAGAGTACAGGTCTGGTGTGGTTTACCGTAATTTGTTCCAAATGGTAAGTGAAAAGTGCTGCAGAGTTCAGCCATAGACCATATCCTTTGCTTGTAGAAGGCCCTTATTCAGCATTTCTAGAAAGGTTGTGGAAGACTGAGGTTTCAAACATTGGAGAAACACTGCTGCCGAATGGTCTAGCCCAACAGGGGCGCTCCCTTCTGCCAAGCGTCTGCCACTACCAGCTAAAGCTCACCACAGCCCTGCAAGAAGGAAAGTGTGTTCTGACAATAGCACTGGACATGCAACTGAATTCCTTGGCAGTGTCAATTTAATAATGCTGGATCCTTGCCTACCTACATTATGCCTAGTTTAATTTTTAAAGCCGTAAGCCTGGAGATCTAGGCTGAATGATATAAAGATAGCAGAGAATTAAGCCAGCAACGCCAGGAGTTCAGCAATTCTCCCTGTGTTGCTTTCCGCCACCACTATTAATAGGCAAGTGATGGGCAGGTGCAATGACAGTACGTACCATATAATCCCAGATTTACTACAAAGTGCCTTTTTGGGGGAGAGGGAAAAGTGTGGCCAGCTGTGACACACACACACACACACAATGATTTTCCTGTGAGTTAAGAGCTTCCCTACTTCTGCTCCATAAGATTCTATTAAAAATGAACTGCTCCAAGGTGATACTACTCCAAGATGATACAAATCAGAGTATATACATAGTGTTAGCGGATGTGTTCTCTCTCAGCCCAAACATTTTAAAACAATAGACAAGCCAATTCCATTTAAATGTTCCATCAACCAGTTGCTCTGAAAGAAATTCAGCATGGCTGTGGAAATTGAGGGGCTAGGAAAAGCTGCCCCACTTACTGCCTACTAATTTAAATCATCTGCTGCCATCTACTGGACAGTAACCTTGGTACATTTCGAAACTAGAAGGGATCAGGTGTAAAGGTTACCTTTGGCTGGCTTTAGTTCATCAACAGAATTGTCCTTCCCTCATTTTCCCAAAATCCAGCACACTGAAAGTTGGTCCTGTCAAAATGTTTTACTCAATACTTCTTGTATTGAATAATTGTAGTTGTAGTTTCCAATTTGCTTTAGGTTCCAATTTGCTGTAGTAACCAATCAAGGAAGAAATACTTGTTTTTAATGCTACCCTATCTAAATCATTTGCAAGCTTATGAATTCCTCTTTTCTTTCATTATTTGCCTCAGAGACACACTTGAGAAAATGTATTGACTTTACCAGCAGAGGCCCTAAAAAGAATATTTTTTAACAGTAATGTTCTATAGCTAGAAAACACGATTTTATTTTCTAGTAAATCATCTGCAATGATCACGGTGTATCAGCAGAACAATGTGTTTATACACTCCTGATGAATTACGTTAGCTCGAACAACAAAATCCCAAAGGAAAGATATTTGTAGCGTCCCACCTGTTTTGTTTAACTAAAATAACTGTAAGTACACAAGCATTTAACAACGCAAGATTAGATAGCTGAGAACATTCCAAATTATTCTATTCAGATTAAAATCACTGTTACTGCTACTCCACATGAATAATTTACTTCATTACTGGCAGAAATTGATAATCAACGCAAAGTGGAAAGTATCATTTAACATAATTCAGTTTATAGTACTGAAATGCCTTATGAATAACCAATGCTGACTAAAGAAATTGAACAGTTTAGTTTCAAAGGTAACAGAATCATAGATTCATGGAATTGGAAGAGTCCACCTCCCTGCAGAAACTAAAAGCAGATCTGCAGACAGTTGTCCAATTTTCACTTGAATGCCTCCAGCATTTGAGCACTCACTTCTTGAGGTATTAGTTAAGTTTGTTTGTGGTATTTATACCCCTCCTATCTAGTCGAATTCCTGTTGTACTGCTCTAACAGGAATTTTTCCTGATGTTAAACTGAAATCTAGGTTCCTGTAACTTGAGCACATTATTTCCTTGTCCTGCACTCTGGTATGATTGAGAACAGATCCTATCCTCTGCATGGCAACCTTTCAAGTATTATAACTCACACAACAAGACACTACTTCTAAATTTATTTTCGACCGAAGAGATAAGCTTGTCCAATAGACAAAAACATAAAAATATGATCCAAGAAACTGGAAAACTAATTTTGTATTCTCAAGGACAATTTGGACAAAATTAATCTAAAACATTTAAACAACTAAAAAATAATCAATTTTCACCCTTAATTCATTATGTGCAGACATGTGCAAACTTGTGGACTGAAATATCTAAAAATCTCCAGGCAACACCTCATAGAAATGGACTGGAATTCCCAGATTTGAATTTCCCAATAATTCCCCATGCAGAATCCGGGAGCTGCAGTCACAGAAAACTAAATCTACACATTTATAGCTTTTGGGTGTTGCTGCTACTATTGCCACCATCACTTCGACGACTACTACTGCCACCACCCTGGGGTGCTGTTTAGACCTGAGAGGGCATACATGCCATGAAAGGCAGATCCCAAACCATTTGATTCTTACCTCAAATGCTCTTGTAGTTGAAGTGGAAGCTGCCTGAGAGAGATCTACCTACTATATGCTAGTTATGGAGAGATGCCAGCTGTGGCAGGGTACAGGATGAAAAGACCACCAAACATTCCACTGATGGGCCACTCTCAAGCAGAAAGGGTGGGCTGAGCTCTCCACCATCCTCACTTTGGAGCAGCCAATGACAATTGGGGCCAGGCTGCAGGACTGGCAGACACTGCATTTGAAAAGACTCTTGGAGAGAGGGCGAGGCACTGCTGGTGGCAGCCAGGGTGGAGGAGTACATGAAGACTAGAGGTGCGTAAATGTTTGTTTTCTGACTGCAACCCCCAGATTTCTGCCTGGGGAATTCTTAGAGAATTCTGGAATTTGCAGCCCAAAAAATGACTCAGCACACACCTAATCACAAATTTCAATAAATTAAATTTTTCGTTAATTGTTCATGTTGATAACACACACCCTACAGTATATGGAGCTCTCTCTTTCATAAATAAGAAAGAAAAAATTAACACGAGTCATGTCCAAGGCCTTGAGTATCATGGAAATAATTTCTTGGAACCCACTCAGAGTCTCGAATCCCAGCTGAAGTATCTGTGGTGAGACAAACAGTGAGGGCAATGCATTTTTATTATTATTTTCACAAAAAATGGCATAAATATAATGTCACTTTTGAAACAGAAACCTTTAATATTAGAAGTGACAGAAACAGAATGGTTGTTGCAGTAAGACTGATACTATAAAACACGGGATCTCTCTCTCATGAAGATGTCTTCTCTTGAGCTGTAACCAAAACCAAGTGTTAGAACCCAAAACAGAGTCCTTGAATTCATTGGTAAACTACTGACCTTCATTACAGCAAATACAATAAAGATCATGTTACTTGTTTATAGTACGACAGCATATCATCTAAACTCTGGTAAGCTGGCGTTTGGTTTTGGGTGCCACTGTCATAGGTCTGACTGGTTTGGAACTGATCGCTTTGTGAGCTGCTGCTGAGAGTCTCTGTTGAGGATGATGGCTCGTTCCCTATTGGATTCTGTTCTGTTCTTTCACAGGAGTATCCAAGCTTGTTCCAATTCTGGCCTTTGCTCTTAAAAACTCTCTTTTGACCCACAAAGTAAGCGGGAGGTGGTGCAAATTCTGGATCTCTTTCATTTCTGAGTTCGGACTGCTTCTTTGACCACATTCCAAATGTGAATTCTAGGAGCAAGGAGGAAAAGACAGCAAGCTCAATTAGATTTTTCTTCTTTGATTCAACTCACACAGTACATCACTTGTGGAATTCAAGCTTATTTTAACAATAAACCTTTCCCCACTGGCCATCTCTGAAGTTAGGAAGAAGCTTTCACTTGGTCACCCTGATACTCAAGCCACAAAAACTGCAGAGCCAGCACTGAAGTACCCAGCTTCATATATCTTAACACATGTAATCACATCTGTGTTGCCCTCTAGTGGCCCACAGAAAGTGGAACAAGTAGAAGAAAATTCTTATTTAAATCACCCATTTCTTGTTATAAGAAATTTAGAAATAGCTGGAACAACAGGGAATAACTTTCCCCCTGTGTACCAGGGTGAATGGATAAATGTATTTTCATTTCATAGTTTATCTGTTACATTTACGCCCCACCTTTCTATTTGCAGTTATTACTCAAGATGGCTCAACAAACTTTTTAAATGAAACTAGAGATAAAACCATATTTAGCAAAAAATAAATAAATAATATAAACCAGCCTGACTGTAACAACATAAAATTAATAATAAAAAATGTAAATACATTACAATAAGCAAGGATACAAATTAAAAACAACATAGGACAGATAAGACTTCATATGCTGGTTTAAAAATATGTTTCTACTCCCTTCTTAAAATCAGTTAAGAGTAGAAACAGATCATAACCCAGCACACGGTGCATTCTATAGTCTAGCAGCCATACAGGAAAAGACCCTCAGCCGCATGCTTGTTAGTTAAGCCTCTAAAACTGCTGGTATTTTTAAGAGGACCTCTAATAAACATACAGATAAGCCCATAAGGGGACAGGTGATTCCTCAGATACCCAGGCCCCAAGCTATTTAGGGCTTTCACAGTCAAAACCAACACCTTGAGCTGGACCCAGTAAGCAAATGGCAACCAGTACAGGCCTTTTAGTATTAGGTCATACAATACTGTGCACCAGTTAGCAACCTAGTGACCGCACACTGTACCAATTGAAGACCTTGGACTTTCTTCAAGGGTAGACCCACATCAAGCATATTGTGATAATAAAGATGTGGTGCAAATGAAGTATTAGTGACTGCTGCTAAGTCAGGTCAACTCGGGAGCCTCGCTGCCCCTTCAATATGTCTACAGAAATCTTGGGTCCCAGAAATGTAGGATTTCTGTATTTGAAGTGATCTGTCCAACAAATAAGAACTTCTGTCTGATGAACTCAGACGTGGTCTTAAAAACTGAGCTGAGCAGAAGCACATTCTGGATTCTTACCTTTCCCTTTATCCCACTCTCGAACATAAGGTACTCCAGGCTTTGTATCTTTTCTTTCCTGAATGACAACTTCCACCTTTCGACTTTCTGTCGAAACTCTTGGCTCTTTGGCAGGTTTGGGCTCACTGGGTACTGGCTCAACAGCTTCTTCCTCTGCTTTGATGGGCAAACAAGTTGTACACAAGCAATGAGATAAAGGTATTACATGATAGTAAGGCAAAATCAACAGCTAAGGATGATCTAATCAAAGTTCAACACTTTTCACTGGGAAGTTAAAACCTCACCCCTGGAGGAAAACAGCTGTAGGTTAAGACAGAAACTAAAACAAAAAAGCAAGGAACATTAATATACACACCATCTTTGTACCAATGGTTGTGAGAGGACTACACAAAATGTATTACTTGACTACGTATTTTGAAGTTACCACCCTTTCAAATCCAATTATGTACCAGCTTTAGAAAGCAACACCGGGAGTGGTCTGGAACAGATGGAAGTGTTCGGACTACAACAGAAGTAACAAAGGCTTCTGAATATCTAGACAAATCAAGCATGTTTTGAGATTAACAAATGATGTCATGCAGCATTCTTTATATGCCTGAATAAAGAAAACGAAGCCCGATAGTTGGAGCCGTCTCCCCATTTGAGTTTTATATAGTTACAGATATTCTGTTCTGTATATTTAAAGAGACATTACCTCCATTTTCATTGGTATCACCATTTTTTAATCGCATCTTTGCTCTAAGCTTTGACAGCCTCGCCTCCAGAATGGCCTTACGCTTCTCCTTTAAATGCTCACGCTTTGTTCTCTGATCTGTGGTCTGAGAAAAGAGATACAACAATTCATTTCTGTTGCTATTCTAACATTATGTGGCTATATCAAACAGAGATGTTGAATACATATTCAGTTGTGTCTTTCCATCAGCTGAAGAGACAACACTGACATATAAAACCTAAGATTTTTTCTTCAAAAACTCCACATATGCATCTAGACTAGGGATGCACCAAAACAGATTTGAGTAGGGATGTGTGTGGAAGGCAAATTCACACTGTACAAGAATAAATCTGTTCACAACAAGCTTAAGCCAACTATTTATTGGTTGTTGTGGGTTTTTCGGGCTCTTTGGCCATGTTCTTGAGGTTTTTCTTCCTAACGTTTCGCCAGTCTCTGTGGCCGGCATCTTCAGAGGACAGCACCCTGTGCTCTGGTGCAGTTTGTTTGGGAGTTGAGTATTTATGGCTGTGAGATCAGCTTTTGTCCTTTTCAGGAGATGGGTGATTATGGTGATCAGTGTGTTTTTATTGTGGGTGTATTGTTGCGATAAGGAGGAGAGATTATCTGTCACTGTGATTGATGGGTGTCCTTAGCTGATCTTATGTGTGTAGTGATCACCGGTCCTTGTGGCTGGGTAGAGTTCGCTGACCTTTTGCATGCCGTATTTTTCAGTGCTGGGAGCCAAGTTTTATTGAGCTTCAAACTTTCTTCCTTTCTGTTGAAGTTCTGCTGATGTTTGTGGATTTCAATGGCTTCCCTGTGCAGTCTAACGTAATGATTGCTGGTGTTGTTCATTATTTCAGCATTCTGAAATAGAATTTAATGTCCAGCTTGTTTTAGGGCATATTCATCTACTGCCCATGTTTGTGGTTGTTTTATTCTGCACTGTCTCTCATATTCTTTGATTCTGGTGTGAATGCTGCATTTTATGGTTCCAATATATATCTGGCCACAACTGCAAGGTATCCGGTATACTCCTGCAGTGGTGATGGGGTCCCTTCTGTCCTTTGCTGACTGTAACATTTGCTGTATTTTTCTGGTGGGCGTGAATACTGTTTGTACGTTGTGTTTCTTCAAGTTTCCCCATGCGGTCCGTGACCCCTTTGATGTATGGCAGAAATACTTTATTTGTGGGCGGCTGTTTTTCTTCTTCAGTTTGGTCTTGTTTTCTTGGTTTGATGGCTCTTGTGATTTCATTTTTGGAATAGCCATTCGCCTGTAGGGCCCAATTCAGATGGTTGAGTTCAGTGCTGAGAAACTGAAGTTCACAGTTCCGATTTGCACAGTCTACCGGTATGCCGTATTTTGGGTGGTGGTTGGAGTTTTTCTGTAGGTACCGGTCTGTGTGGGTGGGTTTACTGTAGACCCTGTTTCCCAATCGGAGGTCAGTTTTGCGTATGACCATGACATCTAAGAATGGGAATAGGCCCTCTATTTCTTTTTCCATGGTGAATTGTATACTTGTGTGGATGCTGTTAAGATGGTTTAGAAATTCTTCCAGTTTTTCTTCACCGTGCTTCCAAATTGCGAAGGTGTCATCCACATATCGGAACCAGACTGCGGGTTGAAGGGTGCCGAAGCCAGGGCCAGTTTTTCCAAATGCTCCATGTAGAAGTTTGCTATAAGAGGGTTGAGGGGGGCTCCCCATGGCTACTCCAACTATTTAGTGTTTATGTAATCTGTCTGCCATTCCTTCCCATATGTTTGAGATCTTCCTCTGAGACATCAGCTGAAATCCAGTTCTGCAACTATGCTAAACTTTCGGCGGTGAATTGTCTCAGGTTAAGAAATCTTAGTGGACATTATCTGTTGCATACATACTGAGTTGCACGACTCAGCATGGAATTGATAAGGCCTACAGAAATTTCTTAATCTGAAACAATTCACCTCCAGGAAGTGTTGCCTTTTGCGTAACAGCACAACAGGATTTCAGCCATCAAAAACTTACCATATAAAGACATACTCTAGAAAGAGCTACAAAGTTGATATTAGAGCCTTCGAGAATACATTGGTATTAGAGCTTTGGCAAAATTCCAGTGTTAGTTCTATCCTGAGCAAACAGAGTGATATGAATAAGACGCATTGGTTATAATTAACATATGTTCCAATGATTTTAGTCATTGTACTCTTGAAAGGGCTAAGATTTTTAGACACATGAAACTATTGGTCGACTGTTGACTCAAAGAACTGCATTGAACTGACATCATTTTCCTTCTGTATTAATTTTTCTTATTTTAACACCTACTTTATTTTATCATAACTCTTCTCTACAGTTTCCAACCTACACCCTTTTTCTTATCCTCCTTATATTTCCAGTTGTGTAAAGCGATGGACATCATGAAGAAAAACTGAGATTTTTTAATGCTCTACAATGTATAAGAGCCAGCTCACTTAAACATGTTACTGTGAAAAAGGAGCCATTTCAGACACATAAACATAAATCCATGATACTTACACATTTAATTAATAGATCTGATTTGTCCCTTTTCTTTTTAATAATCTCTGCTAGAATATCACAAGTTATCCTTCTTTGGATGTTAACGTAAGGGCAATCCACTCTTTTTCACTGTTACTCATTTTCTTCTTTTTGAACTCTAGGTGCTCCTTCTTTCACATTATTTAGACACTGCTTCCTTACATTTACTCACATCCGAGTTGCATTTGGCTGTTCATTAGTTTTCCCTATGTAGGCTCTAACAACAACCACACGGTTTATTCTCCATGTTATCATTTAGTTCTGTTATTACATCTGGTTAATAAGTATACAGTGTTTTTCACTTTTGTAACTTTTGCAACTTATAATCTATTCATTATAAGGCTTTTTCTAGATTGGGATATGAATTTTGTGGAAATTTTCTACATGGACTCGAGTCCCACCTGTGACACTTTATTTCTGAAGCAACTAATATCTATATTGATGAAGACTATAAAATCATAACACAAGCCCAGGGTCACTGCTCATTTTATATTTTTCACTCAACATCCTATTTACTTCTGATTTAATGGACTGTTGACCTGTAGCTCAGGGTCTTCAGATGCTCTTTTCATGAGAACTTTCACAAAGTCAGAGTTGTTACTGAGAAGTGAACGGTTGAGTTCCAACCAGACTATTTCCCGACCTCAGTGCTAGTCTACACAACACCCAATAGAGAAAATCCATCCTGAAGCATACTCCTGACCTTCATACCTGCTCTCTTAGCATTTCTAAAGTTTCCATCTGTTTTTTCCTCAAAGTTTGATCACGGGAGAAGGCAAAGTAACCAACACCAAGTTGCCTGGCCTCTGCAGAAAAAGAATTACAATATGTAAGAAACCACATATTACAACCCCACAACCACAGGCAGCTGCCTCATAGAGTCACACCACTGTTTCCCCTAGCTCACCGCTCTCTACCCTGACTACCAGCAGCATTCCAGGTTTTGGACACAAACCTGTCCCAGAGCTGGGCAGAGTCGGTTAGGATTGAACAAGCGCCCTACACATTCTCCGAAGGCAAGAAAAGGCACTTCTCCTCAGTCTCTCCCCCCCCCCCCCGCTCAATCATTATGAAAGGAGTGATGGCTCATGTCAGTTTCTAGTAAAACAGAGCAGAAACCTCTCCTTCACAACTATTAAGTCTATGTAATAATCCCTTACTCCACAACATTTTAACTACACCCCCCCAACTTCACCAAACTGTTACAGAGGGGTTATAGTATATATGACATGTTTAAAGGGCTTGTCAAATTTGTTTGCTCATTACTAAATGCTTTATTACAAATTGGTAATTCTTTAACTATGATCATCTTTCTAGAAATACACAATATGATATTTAACAATGATATTTAACAGAATCCATTTCTGCACTGTATTTCTCAAGATAAATAGGTATAAAAGGAAATATGCACACCATGTTCTCGAATGTCCTCATAATGTATAGGGCCCATAGGTTTCTTTAGGGCTTCTTCTTCCTCTCTTTCCCACTCCTGACGTTTAAGCTCCCTTTTCATGTCATCAGACAACAGAGTCTTCTCTTCAGTCATCTGCCTATTTACAAACGAAAGTGTGATTAGAAAAAGAAAGAGCACCTCTTAAGAGCCAATGGCTGAAATCCTGTTGGTAGACCTATCCTTGTGGAATGGCAATAATGATGTATGCATGCATATATGTATGTATGATATTGTTACTCTGCCTTTTTCCTTAAAAAGAGCCATAATTAAATGCAGGACAACATTTAAAGGCCCCAGTTTATATACACATATTTTATGTTATGTCATCATCTCCTTTCCACAGGTGTACTTACACCAATGGGATTTCAGCCAAAGGATGACAAGTGGTTAAAAGAATCCCCACATACTCAAATTTACTACAGTATGTCCCATCTAAAAATGTAATTCTAATATAAGAACATTAGAGCACTTCTGGTAGATATTATGTTGAGTCATCAACTTAAATGTAGAGCAGCCTTCAATTATAACTTTCTAGATATAGTTTTTCTAGATATTTAGATAAGACAACAGGAATGAGTTATAGTAGTAATGAAATGTTGGTACATTTTGAAGTCATAAAAAACCCAAGTTTTGAAAACAAATGGAAATGATGTGCAGGCTGAATTATATATTTGTTTAGCTTGTTCAGTGGTTTTATTTATTAATGGATTTTATTCTTTGTCAATATATATTTGTATATTGCTTTGTATTTATTTTTTTTCCTTTGGATGCTTTGCTGTAAATCACCCAGAATGCACATTGCACTATGGGTATGTAAGTTGAATAAATAAATTAATAAATGATATTTTCCTATTGGTTTCAAATTTGCTTTTCTACTTTGATATCATATACGACATACAAATTGTCTGGCTTGTTCTGTTTATTCATTTTTTGTAACTAAAGCCTTTGTTTTGCATAAGTAATTACAAACATATCCCAGGACATATTGTCTGGCTATTTAACTATGAAGCATACCTTTATTTTTGTCAGTTGGATAAAAATAGGGAAAGGTAAGAAAAAAAATGTCAACACAGCAATAAAGAATAGGAAGTCTTCATTACTTGGGGGCTTGCAAAAAGTCACTTTTCTAAAGCAGCATCCAAGTATGAATTAAAACACCCTCCCGCTCCCAAAATCTAGAGGCTACCGCAAGGTGAGTGTATAGCATGCAAACAATAATCCTTCTCCTTTCAAGTTTTTTTTTAAAATGGTAACATCAGGACAGAAGAAATGCAGGAGACCTGTAATTTTTATCCCAATGGAGCCTATCTGAGATATGACAAGGATGGCTGGCAACCACAATGCTCTGGCTAGCAGGAGACTAGGCGAAATGGCAGTGAGTTGCCTACTCACAGCATAGTCGCTGGTTCCCTCTAGTGGCCAGTCCTGGCAATTGTATCATGGAATAAATATTTCTGGATTTTTCATTTCGTATTTTTAGTATTTTTAAATCGTGGATAAGTAAAACTGTGGATATTTCTCCCATGGGTATGCAGGTCCTACTCTATTACTGTACACTATAACAGATGAAGCAGAGTTCAGCTAACACAGAAGCTTGAATAATAAGCTTATTATTTCATTTGCTCTCTTATCCGATAAAACTGTTCCTGTCAGAAGAAGTCACTATGGAATCCCTAGAACCTCTAGAACAAAATGAGAATGGGGGCTGAAAAGCTCCTGAGAAAAGTGGAAAACTCTCCTATAAAATTCAAGCTATCTCAGGATCCAAGCCAGCACTATAAAACTTTGTTTTCTAAAGTATTTTTTACTCATTACTCCAGGAGAAAATAGTTTACAAGAGAGAAAAGTGGAAACATGAGAGAAGATGTGTTTTCTTCTTGCTTGAGAGTGACAATTCTAGAATTCTTCACTTCTCCTATAAAGTTACAAATGTTTAAACAACGTGTCAATTACTCAACAATGAGACTTTCTGTGGCTTTTTCCCATACAATGTTCAATTATCAAAGGCTTCATGACTTGCAAAGAAGTCAAGTGCTATTTATTAGAACATTCTGTCCATAACTTTTATCAGAACGCTTTAAAATCTTTTCATTGAAGAATAGAAAAAATCTAACTCGGCTAGTTTCATTAGGACACATTAAAATTCAATTCTGTAAGTGCAGGGCCATTTCTTTAGCACACTATTAAGCTTTCACAAGACAGCTAAGTTAATTGGTCTTCAAATAATACATTAAAAGTGTTTCCCTACATTGAACATTTTAAGTTTTGCCAGCATAATCATTCTTTCCTTGCACAAATGTGTTTTAAGGACTATAGCAATTTTAAACATAACATAGGGTAGGTAGCCACTGTGCGCCTTCCCCAAAAAACATTCTCCTTGTTTCTATGAACATTAATTCTTGAACTCGTATCTAAAATGTCAGATATGGGCCAAGGGACATAATGTGCTGTGAAGACTCTAGAATTACCATTTCTGTTATGAAAACAAGACAAAAGAAATTTCAGCCAATAAAATTTAAGCAGCTCAGAGATCATTGATTTGAGTAGAATTCATTGTCTACAGTAGCATAAAGAGTTCTTGTTGCTCCAAATGTACTGACATAAGAGGCACACACGTTTACTGGAAAAAAATCTTTACTGAGACTAGTGCTATTAAAATCACACAAAAAAAGTAATAGATCTGGTGCCCACTCCCCACCACTGCTCTAACAAAATAGACATGTCCGGAAGTAATGATTTTCTTTAGAATGAGCATTACCTCTTCCCCCGAAGCTCTTTATCCATTTGAAGCAAATGTGGCAAATCTTTCTTCATGCAACGTCTAGATCGTCCTAAGGAATCCACATAATCAACCCTAAAATACAAAACAAAAGTTATTTTATACAGACTAAAACTAAAGTTGTATACAGTATTTGATTTCTATACAGCCTCTTCAGTGAACACACTACTCTGGGCAGTTTACAAACAAAACTCAGAATCCCACACGCCCCATAAAACAATGTAACTGACATCAGTGTTCACCGATTCAGATCCAAAACTGATTCAAGAAAAAAGCACGTGAGAAAAATATATATTAACAGCATCTGCAGGATAAGTTACTGAAGGCAGCTTTACATAATTCTAACTTTACTAATGTCCTAAATATCAGGAGAGAAGCCCAGCGTACCTCAATTGGAAGTTTGTTCTGAAGATTGCGGGCCACCACTGTGAAGACCCAATTCCTTGTTGTCACATTTTTGGCCTCTCTTGGTGTAGGCCGCTTTAAGCAGCAAGGATTAAGAGGAGTGGGTGAAATAGCTAGCTGTTTCTGGGACACACATTCTGACATGTATTGAGGTCCTAAACCTCAGGTCATAACCAGCACCTTGAATTGAGCATGGAAACAGGCAGGGAACCAACGTAGGTGGGCCAAAACTGGGGATATATATTCAAAATTACTAGTCCCAGAAATCAATAACGTAGGTGGGCCAAAACTGGGGATATATACATTATTCAAATTTACTAGTCCCAGAAATCAATATAGCCACCACATTTTGGACCTGTTGAAGTTCCTGCACTTTTTTCAAGGGCTGCCCTATGCAGAGAGCAGTACAGCAGTCTATTTCTGAGAGTATCAATGAATGAACCACTGTTACTAGGCATTTCTTATCCAAGCACAACTGGGTAATCAAGTGGAGTTGATTAGAAGGCACTCCTGGACACAACCAATATTTGAGTCTCCATAGGGAATGATGAGTCCAGAAGTACTTCCAGGCTGCAGACCCAATTCTTCAGAGGGAGTATAACCCCATCAAGGCCAGGCGGCCAGGTAAATTTCCCTCTAACCAGTCCAATGATCCTCCTAACAGTAGGATCTCCATCTTATTTGGATTCAGTTTCACTTTATTGGCCCTTGTTCAGACCATTATCAATGCAAGGCAGTGTACAGCATCCCTTGCAGATATTGTGAAGGAAAAACAGGCCTGCATACCATCAACATACTGGTAACAGTGAACCCCAAATCTCTAAATGACTTATCCCAGCAGCTTCATGTAGATGTTAATAAGCATTTGAGAGATGGCTGGACCCTGTAGAACCTCAGCAAAGGGTGACAGCATCCTCAAGCTGTACCACCAAGGAAGGCCTAGAATCAGGGAGAATAGAGCCCCTGATCCCTAAATTCAACAGCCTTCCCTGGAGGATACTGTGGTTGATGGTATTAAAGGTTGCAAAAAGATCCAGGAGGACAACAGGGTTACACTTCTCCTGTCAGTCTCCCTTAGGACATTGTCTTGCAGGGTGAACAATGCTGTTTCGGTTCCATGTCAGAGCCTAACCCTGACTGAAATGGATCCAACTATCAGTTTCTTCCAAGAACACCTGCAGCTGATCAGCCACCACCCTTTCAATTAACTTGCCCCAAACCAGATTATTAGCAATGGGTCTGTAGTTGTATAGATCATCTATTGCTAGATTAGTTTTCTTAAGAATTGGTCTTAAGGTTTCATTTAAACAGGAGGGCATGTGGCCTTCTTGAAGAGATGCACTGATAATGAAGTTGGCACATTCTGGTTGTTGTGGGTTTTTCGGGCTCTTTGGCCGTGTTCTGAAGGTGTTCTGTGGCCAGCACCTTCAGAGGACAGCACTCTGTGCTCTCTGTGGTGTCCTCTGATGATGATGCCGGCCAGAGACTGGCGAAACGTTAGGAAGAACAACCTTCAGAACACGGCCAAAGAGCCCGAAAAACCCATAACAACCATTAGATCCCGGCCGTGAAAGTCTTCGCGAATACATTGGCACATTCTACTGCTGCATTCTTGGCAGATTTTAGTAGCCAAGACTGGCAAAGACCTAAAAAGAGATGGTAGCTTTACAAGTGCCTTGTTACCTTCTCAGGCCTTACTAACTAAAACTGATCCAATAAATCTTGACTAGATGGTGCCTTGGACATCTCAATCCAATCTACTGGGTTAAATGAGAAGTCAAGGTCCTGATGAATGCACTCAATCTTTGATCTCAAATAGGTTGCCAGTCGGTTTCAATTCTCTGTACTTAGGTAAAAGAGTTTACATCTGTTCAGCATTTGGAAGGCTACGGACAACCTGAAAAGAGTTGCGTCTGTTGCTAGAGGGCTCATGAACCAATTTCGTGTTATAGCCATTTTTCCTGCCTTAAGTGAACTACATATTTACCAGACATCGCCCTGACTTCACCCAGATTGCATTCCAAGGAAACATTCTGAGGGAGATATCAAATTCTCACCTTGGTCAAGCAAACAAATAAAATGTGTGTATATCATCATGAATGACATCATTCATGATAATGATATATATATCATCATCATGTGCTGTCAAACATGTGCTGTCAAATCAATTCTGCCTTAATAGCAATCTTTTTTAGGGTTTCCCAGGTAGAGAATACTCCAAAGTGGTTTCCCATTCCCTTCCTCTGGGGGTGCCCTGGCACTCTGTAGCTCACTGGTTCTTAACCTTGGCTTACTCAGGAGGTTTTGACTGCAACTCCCAGAAGCCTTCACCACCAGCTGTCCCGACTGGGGTTTCTGGGAGCTGCAGTTTAAAAGCATCTGAGTAACAAAGGTTAAGAACCACTGGTGTAGCTTACCTAAGGTCACACAGGCTGGCTCTATCTGCAGAGACACAGTGGGATACTGAACTTTCAAACTCTGGCTCTGCACCCAGATACCTAACTCACGGAGCTATCCAGTCAGCCATTGATTAGTAACCCCACTCTAAATATGAATAATGACAGATTTAGCAGGGATAAATTTTAAAAGGTAACAAGGAATAATAGCCAACATTTATCATGTCTGTCAATTTTAAAACATTTTGATGCAGCTCTTTCCTTTCATAATAATGCATAAGGAGAATCATTAAATATATCCAATAGGACAGTACTAAAGCAGCACACAACGTCTGCTCCCAGTGGCAAAAATCAGTAGTTTTGGCTTCTCAAACAAATACTAAATTGCCATAATAAGTTTCAATAATCAATGCAAGACACATTAATCACTGCTTCCACAATTATTCCACTTTTCTAATGACAGCTGAAGACAATGGGAGAGCACAATTGCTATGAAAGGTCTCTTTGATAAAAGAATGTTTTCCGTTTCTTTTATAAAAACTGTTCCAAATCCAGACAACTAGGAGTACACACAGCCCATAAAGACTGACAAACTATTCTTAGGTAGTGAAGTATCCCAATCATTCATGTTGGAGACACAGCCATCTCAGAGCTGATGGGCCCACCATGCAAACCCAATCATTAGCCAACAATTTATCTTCCATTAAGTTGTTGTTTTTATAAAGAAAAAACACGAATGGCCTGAAACAGGCTATTGCTGTTGAAGACACAATTCAGAGATATCTAGCTTTTTCTCAAATTCCAATCCTTGTAAAATTACTTATCATGCAAAAAAAAAACACAAAAAAAAACACATCAGTAGTTGTTTAATGACTAGGTTATTAGACATGCTTTGACCGCCCTGAAAAACATTTGCAGTATACAAACTTGCATGCTCACAACTGTCCCAGGCACACTAGCAGAACACCTTTAAGACATGGAACAGAAGTGAGCACTGTGAAGAGGAAGACACCAGCACCTTCAGCTCAGTGGGTGAGCTATCTCCCCTTTCCCCTGAGCCTGGGAAATTTTTTATAGCCAGCTCCCTGGTAGACCAGAATGATGGTCTCTGGGCAGAATGGGTGTCTGAGGAATGGAACAAAAGAACCTGACACTTAGGAATCCATCACTGCTCTCAGTGCAGGTATACAAATCCTCCCTGTTGCAGTCAACAAGGGTATGGACACCACACTCCAACCTACTGAAGGGAGCTGTGGCAGAGACTGAACTGATGGCAGTAACTGGAGGTCTCTTGGACTAAAAATTACCTGTGGGATGTGAAGGGGACTATCCCAAAGGACCCCAGGAGGGGGAAAACTCTATTTGTTTTCCCCATCCCTGTTGTTGCTGAATCACCTTTAGTGTCATCCAGAGTAGAGCAGGGGTTCACAAACTGTGTGCTCTAACTCCATAAGGTGCAATGGGAAAAGGGGACAGAAAAGAGCTATGAGGGCTGTAGAGAAGCTGTTCATAACTCTATGTCAAACAAAAACTGGAACTGATGTGTCTGCCTCTCCTTGCCTCATCTCTATGGTTCCCTGGTGGAAGTGCTTGCCTGGTGGCTTGATGAGTTTCCTGCATTCAGACCTGTAAGGAGGTGGGCCCTCAAGGATATTCAGGGGGAGGAGATGGGATGGATGGCTATGGGGAAGATCCTGTTCCTGGTGGGAGAGAGACCCCTGATGGGCCCGCTGAGAAAGGGGAGCCTCAGCCAGTGGTCAGTAAATCAAGGGAACCGTGAGTCCAAAATGTTCAGGAACCACCGGAGTATGCGGGGAGGAGATGGGATGGATGGCTATGGGGGAAGATCCTGTTCCTGGTGGGAGAGGGGCCCCTGATGGGCCCTCTGAGAAAGGGGAGCCTCAGCCAGGGGTCAGTAAATCAAGGGAACCAGGAGTCGAAAATGTTCAGGAACCACCAGAGTATGGGAATAGAGGAAGGCACTGAAGCCAGTAGGGCTCACAGGGCTCACATATACCATTTTACAAGAATCGTGCTATGAGAAGTGGTAACTATTCATTTCTTCAGGTCCTTATGCACCTAAAAAAAGGGAGGCGAGTGAACAGGATTTCAGGAGGTTGATAAGCTGCTTTCGCACATACAAGCTGGAAGGTATTTCAAAAAACAATACGCACACTGAGTTGTAATTCATGCAACATTGTATGCAGATAAACTATCCAAGTAAATTATCCTTAACATGAGACAGTAAACTCTACTAGAGAAAACAGACCCATCTGGAAGACTATTTTGTGATAGGCCAGAGAAAGTGAGAGGGAGAGTGTAAAAGAACAGTAATAATCAATTAGGGATATTTTACACATGTACGTGCATTTGTGTTTGGTCCCAATAATTTAGACAATTCAACAAACAGGACAGTAGCAATACAATTAACATCACAAACCATTCTTCACTGGGATCCTGAGGCGGTGGAATATCTGTTTCTGAAAGCTGCTCTTCTTTCCCATTCTCTGTTGTGGCCTTTCTAGCAGCTTCATTTGCACCCAGTTCCTGTATCTCTTTCTGTTTGTCTATGATCTTCTGGGTGAAATCCACAAGGTACAAATCTTCAGTTTCTTCATCTAAGAGAGAAAAATCAATGCTTAAATAACAGCCATCAAGAGCACCCAGCTGAGGTAGCAGTCCATGGAAAATTGCAGCAATCAATGCTACTGCTGCCAACAGCGTCCTTGACACGACAATGTACAGACAATATAGGCACAGTAGCAATTACTAGGCACTCCCTTCAGCTTCAGGCACAGCTGTCAAGTTGGTTTTGTATGAAAGAAAAAGTTGTGAAAAGTCACAAACTTCTTCAGTCCTTTGCTCTGCAGCTTGCAGTCCTGGTCCTCCAATTCAACAATCAATCAGGTATGTCTTAAGTAGGAGATGGAATGCAAGACTGTGATACAGAACAGACTGTGCCCCTTTCTCCAGCAATAAATCAAGGTAAGGCGGTGGATTTCCCTTCCTACGAAGCCTGTGGGGGCTGGCAAAGTTACAACCTGACCACATACATTTTGTCATCTGTTTTGTATACTAGACATGAGAAGGCAGGAAACAAAGAGACATGGAGCAGTTTTCAACAGCAACCACATACTGAAAGGTATTATGGTGTGTGCAGCCATATATTATGCTCTGAAGAGCAAAAAAAATTCTTCAAGTAAAATCAAACATAGAGATGCCCCAAACAAAAAATTATAACTATGAAATTGGACCCAGGATCAGCACCAAGTTGACAAGGATGTAGCAGAAAGTCTACTCTTATTCTGTTGCAAATTTGGGGATGTTTGGGCAAAGGGTTTTCCATGTGTATGAAGGGGTATTTTTTTTCCAGACCCATCGTGTTCCAACGGGGCTGGCTGTGTGTGTGGAGGGGGGGGGGTTGATTTTTTTTCAGCCCCATCGGAACGCGATGGGGCTGGCTGTGTGTGTGTTTTCTTGGGGGAGGGGTTCAGCTCCATTGTGTTCCGATGGGGCTGGCTGTGTGGGTGTGTGCTTTTCCTTTTCTTTCAGCACCACTGCATTCCAATGGGATTTGCTATGTGGGGGTGGGGTTGATTTTTTTTTCAGCCCCATCGCGTTCCGTGTGGTGGGGGTTTTTTTGTGGTGTTCCCCCCCCCGCCGGGCCGGAATGGATTAATGGGGTTTCAGTGCATTTCAATGGGAAATGGTGCTTCGATTTATGACCATTTCAAGTTACAACCATTCTTCTGGAACGGATTAAGTCCGTAAACGGAGACACCACTGTATTAAGCTCCTACTTCAGTAAGCCAATCTCACTTCAATCAATACATTTTCTTATTGATCCAAACCTGGAAGCTCAAATTCAAAGTCAGAGCAAAGCCAAGACAACTATTTTTCAAAGGCATTATCAAAAACAAAATAAAAATATATTTCAATGTCATTTTTGCAATGTGAAACAACCCCAAAACATGTATCCTTCTAAAAATAAAACAACATTCAAACACCTCAACGGAGTACCAGCAACTACATCACAGAGTTAAAAAATTGCCCAAGGATGGTTACTGAGAAGACCCACCAAGTTCAGAGTCAATGGGTTTTCTCTAAAATAGGAGTGCATAATGCTAATGCTTTAGTTTGAGGAAAATCTAATAACACATTCCCCAAAGTACAGTTTTGTTTACCTGGAAAGTCTCCTTTGGTCATCTTCTCATACAGTTGTGCTTTCTCTTCCAGTTTTTGTCTAAAAAAGAAAAAAAATCAGTTACTCAATGGACTCTGGCAATTTTTCACCAACCCAAAATTGAAGATCTCATAGGACTAACACATGCAGTCAATATTGTTGTTTCAAGACAGTCTAAGCTTTCTTCAATGAAATACATTTCTACAAACCTATGGGGGCACTAGTATTGTTTTCTATATCACAAGGGTAGTAGGTCTCCCTGTGGGTCTAGAGTTTCTATTGCAACTATCTCTCTGGACACATCAGACCACAAACACCACATTCCATTTAGTCATTGGCATATGACTACTTTAAGATTTGTGAGGTGAATCACACAAAGGTAGCTTTATTTATATATTTTTTAAAAGCCTTACACTGTCCAAGGGAATCAGAAACTATTAAGAATAGCCACTGAATAATTAGATGAAAGAACTATGACTGAAGTGCAAAGCACTGTAAATGCACTTCATCTGAATTAAATGAATTAAGCCACAGTTTTTTTTGCAGATAGCAGAACAAACCAGTGAAAGTTTGAATGTCATTCAACAAGAAAATATATATCCGAGTTTGAACTACAGAAGTGCCAACATTCTGATCAAATTCTAAGAAACAGGTATTAGATATACGTCATAAATGGCCAATTATTGTTGCCCCATTATACAAATTATTATCCACTCTTTAGCAGGGCACTCACCAAATTCTAAGAAACAGGTATTAGATATACAGTAAGTCATAAATGGACAATTATTGTTGCCCCAATATACAAATTATTATCCACTTTTTAGCAGGGCACTCATCATCCATAGTCACGTGCTGTCTTAAGCCTAATACTATAAAAATTCAAAATAACTCATTCCAGAAATAGAGGCCGAGGGGACTGAAATAAAGCCTAGGTTGCATCAAGTCTATATGATTCTGTTTTGCATTTGTTTACCTATACACTCTGTAACAAAATTTAAATTCAGGCTTTTCCTTCTCAAACTGAAGACTTACTTTGATTTATCCAATGTTTGTTGCTCTTCTATCTTCTGCTCAGCATCTTTCTCAGCTCGATTGGAAACACCTTTGTTTTGCTTAGTCCAAATACTGGGCTTCTGAATATTTTGAAAAAAGATGCAAACCTGTATTTCAGCTTCAAAACTGTTTGTCAGAACTACTTATTTATTACTTTAATTTAATATATTGCTCCCATTAGTACCGCAGCATTTCTCTGGGCAGTTCATAGTACTTAAGCATCATCTTGATTCCAGGAACTCCCATTCCAGATATTTCTGAATGTAAGTAGGCAACATAAAACCCTCTGGATGCATTCAATTTATCAAAATTCTTATCCCAGCAAAGCTTATGGCAATTGGAACAAATGCCTAAGTACGTTGTTTAACAGCCTCAGTACAAAGCTATGGTGGTCTCTGGTTTTTATTCCTTCTTTTCAGAAAGATGTTTAACAACACCATCAGAAATGTAATTTGACTATGTATTATCCCTACATAATGGTTATGATCATGATTTTTTTTCTAATGTGCAATGAAGAATAAGGGTCTGTTGAATTAAGAATGTAGATTTCCTTTAAGCTACTCTTAAAGCAAGAAAAACACAATGCTATCTAGCCATAGAAACCTATCCCGACCTAGTGATGTCAAAATTACTTAAGACTACCCTGGCCCTTACAGTTAACACAGTGGCTGTGGCTGTGGGCTGAGCAGGGTTTGGCTCTCACAAAATGCAGCACCTCCCCGACTCTTCCTCTTCTCACTCCCCATTTTTTAGCTCTTTGCTGACTTACCTCAACCAGTTCAGCAGTTGTGGCAATAGACTAAGTTGTGCCAACAGATCTGATATCAGTTGGGATAGTGTGTGTGTGCGCGCGCTGGCTAACAAAGACCAGTTGTGACAGCAAAAGATGCTTCCGCCCATTCCAATTCCACTATGACCACCACATTTTTGAGCCTACCTACAATATTAATCATATTTCTCAGGAAGTATTTCCCACTGAACTATTAAGACCTTTTTAAGTACTTAAGACCATGTTGTGTAACTCCAAACTCTAGGGAAAATTAAAACAACTCCAGGCAAATGTACAACTGTTATTTAAACAGGAGACAACATTTGGTATATTGACATCAGATTAACCAATTTTCTGTTGTATTCAATTTTTATCTCTAAGGAAATAATTGTTAATATGTTAGAAACCTACTAAATGTACTGGCTGCAATCCCATGACACAAGTACTGAAATAGGGAAAAAGTCACCATAACAAGTTATCTACCTTGTTTGTTACTTTAGGCTTTATAGGAACTCCAGCATCTTTCAGAAGTTTTTCTTTTTTGAATTCTTCCTGTTTCCGGAAAAGTTCAGCTTTCAAGTCTACCAGCTAAATCAGGAAGAGCAAAGGAAAAGAGAGAAAGAAGTCAGAGAAGTCCAGCAGCCAGGCCCCATAACAGAATATTTAATAACAACATCCCTAACAGAACTGTCTATGCCATCTTAGCCCGCCTTAAGAGTCTCTGGTTACCTCTTTTCTGTAAATTACAAAACAATTGTGTTTAATACTGAGAATATTGCTCCAAGACAATTCGCTGTCCGACTCATTGCTAAGGGCAACGCAGAAGAAACAAAAAGTCCTGAGGCACCTTAAGGACCACAACGTTTTATCGAGCAGAAACTTTTGTGGGCATCCACATGATGAAGTGGACTGCCTTCCAGGAAAAGATGTATCAAATAATGTTCGTCTTTAAGGTGACACAAGACTCCTTGTTGTTTCTAAACCACAAGGTCAGCAGGGCTATCGTGAATGAAAAGGAATTCTCGTTATCTGAAATTTTAAGGTGACACAAGACTCCTTGCTGTTTCTAAACCACAAGGTCATCACGACTGTCGTGAATGAAAAGGAATTCTCGTTACCCGAAATCCTCATCACCCCAAAATCTTCTTCCAACACCTTGAGACCAATAAGTTCACAATTAAAAATTCGTAACTCCCCCTCACGATTGGCAGGATGAAAGCAACAGGGAAAGTAGGGCCGAACGCGGTAAGTGACTTTAGAAACCGTGTTCGTTAATAACAGATTTTAGAGCTGCCCCTGAGCATAGGCAGAGTGCAGAGTTCCCCGACACGCCGGGGCAAGGCCGGAGACTTCCAGGCTCTCCCCACCACCCACTCCTTTGGGGATGGAAAGCGCAGGGCCGGGAGCCAGGGGGCCACTTCTCCCCTCCCGCCTCCCCTTCGATGCTCACCGAGGCGACGGTCACGTCCAGCGGCTTCTTTTTCCGGTCCATGATCGTGGCGGGAAGGCACCTCGTTAGTCGAGCTCCCAAGACAAACAACGATCCGACGTCATTTACCCCCGAATTAAACGAAACCTTCCCAACCACTTCCGGGCTCGGGCGTAAAGCACGGAACAGCAGCAGGCTTCCGGTCGCGTTCCGATTACGACAGCTGGTTCGCGACTGTGCCGTAAAGCAAGATGGAGGAAGTCGAGGGAAGCGAGGTTTTAGAACGATTCGGTTTTGGAGACAAACGTGTGGATTCAGGAGCGTGTTTCTGGTGTCTAAACATACTAAAGTCATAATCTTATATTCGCTTGGCTGTAAGGCTTGTAGAATTGAGTGGGACTTTTGCAAGGCTGCAGGCAGTTTATTGTTTTCTTCAGGACTTCCTGGGGGGGAAAATGCCTAGGATTGTCTTGTAAAACTGCAATTCTGCTCACAGCTGGACTTCATGATCCTTCTGAGTAGAAATTTAGTGTGATTCTGTTCCAGGGTTGCCGTAGTCGCCATTTCTGCCCTTAGGAGATCAGTCCGAGATTGACGTTATATCAACGCATGGAGAAACTAATTAGTGGGATTAAAATTCCCAGAATCTAGCCTGGATGGAGGAAAAGCTGTGTTTCCAAGCTTGACATGATATCTTACCCTCACTTAATGCTGCTGCTTGAGTGAAAGAGAAAGGTGACATAAATTATTTAATATTTATATAATTTAGTATAAATAATTTAAATGTACAAATATAAATAGATAGCTGGTAAGCCTTACAGCATGCACAAACTGGAAAGGGAGGGTGAGGATAAAGCTGGCATATGCCCATAAAGGTGTAGTGTGAATACATGGTCACAGGCAACAGTCAAATATCTGAGAGATAACCACAGCACTTACACTTTGCAGAATGTCAGGCAAAATCAAAAGAAAAAAGGAATAAAAATTAAAAAGACAAAAAATCTTGTGGCACCTTAAAAACTTATAATGTTTCTACCATCCTTGCTCACCAGTGTGCAGTGCTCATTCCTTGGATCTTGATATTGGAGCAAAGTTTAGTGTTAGGCAATTATGGTAGAGTAGCTTAATATCAATGGGAGGGAAGGGTCTTGCATCAAATTGTGCCAAATTCTGCAATGTATCATTTGCTGAAGATTGCATTTTCCTTAGAAATCAGTAACTGAATGTTATTATGCTAAGTAACTACAATCATATTTGTGTTAATTTTAAATTTATATTAAAATTTTATTACTATAAGCTATACATTGTAATGTATTAGTAGCTGTTTCCACCATTAAATGTATTTTGAGATAATGAGGCTGCTTCAAGTCCTTTGAGTAAAAGGTAAGTGTTTAATATTACTTATACCTTTTTTTACATTAAATATAAACTGAGGTAGTTTCCATAACTGAAATAAAAACATATTTTTAAAACTCTTGAGCAGTGTGTATGGGGACAAGAGCAGTTAAAAAGATATTTTTAGGGATTAGTCAAAAGCAACAATGGGAATGGGGAAGAGATGTCCTGGGGAGGAAGTTCCAGAAGTGTGGGACAATTTCTGAAAAGGCCCTGGACCAGGTAAACTGGGACAAAACTTAAGGCTAAGGCAGGTTCCTATAAATGCCAGGGGTCCTTGAGATATCCTGCTTCCATGCTATGGAATGCGCTCTGCAAGACTAGGCTGATGCTCTCTCCTCTCTTTTTGGTGGCAATCAAAAGGCTTCAGGAGTCAAACTTGAGGGTGGCAATCAAAAGGCTTCAGGAGTCAACCTTGAGGTAAAATCCGGAGCTGGAGTCCCGGAGGCAGTTCGTGTCGTTCTACCAACTCCTGTGACGTTGCTGAAGCCAGTTGTATTGACGCTTGCCTTTCCATTGGACTGTTTCTGTGACGTGGAAAGGGGGGATTTGCTGCTTGCTTGGGTAACAGCCTATCCTTCATATTATTTTACCCAGGCTTCGGGCCCTGGAGAGGACACTCCAGCTTCGCATACAGCATTGAAACACTAGGCGCTGTTCCAAGTCCTCCATACAGAGCACGTTACCATAGTTTCTCGAGACTGAAGGATGCCTATGATGATGAGTGCCGAAGCTTACTTAAAGACAAAGTACTAATTTGAGAACATATATTTAGCTTCAGCATATCAGCATGAACACCGCACAGAATTTGAAACAACAAATTGCTTACTACAAAGCCAGTCTTCCCTAGAGCTACTCTAGGGAGGCATTACTAGTCCTTTCTAAGACATTACTTTAGCTTGGGAAGAAAAACTACAGGGGTTATCCCTGTCTGACCAAACCTGCCATCACTTTCCTAGCCAAACCCTGCCCAACTTCTTTAATATGCACCTAACTCATTTCTTTGTTACCCAAGTTCCTGCTGGCTGCCTTCCTAGCCCTGCCTGATTTCTATCTAAACTTTGTTTGGCAGTTAAACTTCCATCCCTGCATTCTAAATCTCCCTCTTTTATCCAGCAGCTAATTGCTTTTATCATGATGGGATTGTGTGAAATTCTTTCAGGAGTTTTTTTCCATTTACCTGTCCATCAAAGGAAGGCATGATGGTTTCTAAAAAAAAAAAAAAAGGAAGCCAAAATTTAATTGTTTGAATTGGAATATGATTGTCCTTCATTTCAAATTGATCTAATTTTTTTAAAAAACCCAGGATACAGTAAGTTAAAAAGTTCTGAATGTTGTCGCATTATTCCTCTATTCCATCTTTAAGACATAAATGCATATATATTTCTGTGGTACTTTGATGGAAATTGCTGGTGTTTGTCAAGGAAGGCAGTCCTTTATTGGTGTGATGAAATTCTGAGCAGCAATTTGAAAGCAATTAAGGATTTCTTGCCTCATTAAATCCTTTGCAGCAACTGCTACAAAGCTATTTCATGCATGCTCAGTTTCATTCTGAAGTTAGAATTTTGCCACTGTTTTCAAATGGATTCTGTCACAGAGGGAATCAAGTGGATTTTATCTGTCTAGTGCAGCGATGGTGAACCTATGGCACATGTGTCACAGCTGGCACGCAGAGCCCTCTGTGTGGGCACCTGAGCGATAAGTCGCTGGATCGCTACTACTCCCCTGCAGCCAAACCTGAGAAGGCTGCTGCTGCAGCTACCATAAGTCGCTGGATCGCTACTCCTCCCCTGTAGCCAAACCTGAGAAGGCTGATGCTGCTGCAGCTACGGTGCTGGCACCCCGACAGGCGGTGGGCCAGGATCCACAGCAGCTGGCACTGGCAGTGGATCTGGAGTGGGTTCTCGAGGCACTTCTGTGCCCAGGACTCCCCCTTCCGCCACCACTTCCGGTTCTGCTGCCGCCACCTGCTGGTGTTTTTTTTCTGTCCTCTCATCAATTTGGGCACTCGGGCCGAAAAAGGTTTGCTGTCACTGATCTAGTGCAATGGTTCCCAACTTTGGGTAACTCGGGCATTCTTGGTCTGCAGCTCCCAGAAGCCTTCAGAACTAACCACTTAGTTATCTGACTGCAGAGACAGAGGTTGGGAGTTTGATTCCCCAAAGTGCCTCCTGGAAGAAGAACTGGCCTATGTAGCCTTGGGCAAACTGCAGAGTCCCAGGATACTTCCACAAGAAGGGAATGGCAAAGCATTCTGAGTATACCTAGAAAGCCCTGGAAAAGTTTGCCATAAATCAGAACGGACTCAGCAGCAAGTGTAGGTGTTGAAACCTGCATTTTCCACACATTGCAGGACAAATCTTTCTATTCAGTCCTCCCACGTGACTTAATATTATGTTAATTAGGTATCAGCATGAGTCAAGGAGGATAGAACCCAGAATATGGTTGCATCTGACCAGAAGGCTGCATCTCAGGCTTACTCTGAAACTTGTAGTTTGGATGATTCTAATTGAAATGCGAGCATCTGAGAAAGTTGGCTCGTGGTAGTTCTTAAAGGTTCCACGAGAATATTATTGCACAATGCTATGCATTATGAAAGGTAGGCCCACCTCCTGACTAACTGAATGAGCAATCAGTAAGTATACACTGCCGCTTCAATGCCCTGACAGGGGGAAAAAATGGAGATGCTAGGGCACTATTTTGAGAAAGTAGGGGTGAGTTCCTTGGTAATATAAGGGTTGGGTCATTTATTCGTTCATTCGTTCGTTCGTTCATTTATTTATCCTCTACCACACCCATCAAGTGGCAGGCCAATACTCTGGACGTCTTATAGCAGATGGTATACATAATATAAAACATGAGAAGAGAAAAGAACAATCCAGCCCTAAACCCAAAGCTCATACGCATTACAAACATAAAACCCAAGACCTGAGATGTTGGTGGCAATAACATCATAATGGAACAACAAAATCAGACAGTCAGAAAAATAAATTAGATGGGGGAGAGTCCTAAAGGTTGTAGAACTGGTGCAGATCGGTGTGTAGTAGTGCCTGGCCAGGACTTCAGATCCTCTCAGTGCCTCTCAGAAGAGGGGCCAGCTCACCTAGATCATACGGGGTTAAGTACCCTGTTACCAGTGCAGCCTTGGGCAAGTTGCAAAGTCCCAGAATGCTACCAAAAGGTAAGATGAATAAACCACTTGTGAGCATTTTATACCTAGAAAGCCCTAAGAGGGTCACCATAAATTTGAATTGACTTGATGACACATTATTATGTATCAATATATTTTAGAAATGGTTTATTGGTACAGAATTCTGGTTACTCTCGGTTGCCATTAGTTTGTGCATGCATTTTTAGAAATGGGTAAATAGAGCTTAGATAATAACCTTGCAGGAGTTGCTAAACTGAGATAGCCCATGAGGGAGGGAGGGTAACATAGTGGTTTATAAATGAAGTTATGACTTTATTCAAATGTTCCCTCTGCCATTTTAATGCTTATAGGCAAGCCAATATATCTCAGTTTCAGATTTTTCCCACCCTACCCCTCTCCTTATTGTGGGGTATTTAATTCGACTGCTAGCCATTTTGAGATGAAAGTTCTAAAGATGATCTTGTGATACTGAATTTGATGGCACAATATAACTTGTTACTTAAGCGCTAATTTGGCTGGGAACCCACTCTGGTCTAGGTTTACGCATCCATTCTTTCAAATAAAAATGTATGAGTAATTCTAATAAAGGAGAAAGCAGCCTTGGTTTGACACT